AATTTTTCTTATGGTATTACAGTATTGGGTACCCTCCCTCTCAACAACTGGTTACTGACAAAAGTGGATCTCAGTTGACTGTATGTTACAACAAAAATTTGGGGTAGACATGCTTTTTGTAAAGAGAAATAATATTTACATCTAGTGTCAAACACTTGTCAATGTTGCAGCTTAATATGGCTTTCAATACACCTAGGCATGAGTATTCTTAAAACCCCAAGTTTCTTAGACCTTCCATATTCATAAACTAACTGTACCCTGCAATGTAAGTTATTAGTTCTCAATGTTTTAATTATGGTAGGATAGTCTAATTAATGCATTACAAACTTTGAAACTATTTTGTTGGCTAAAGTGTAAAATTTAACAGAGTACCTGAATATCTCCCTCAGCACTGCAAACAAGCACTACAGCATCCCCTGGGTGCCACTGAATAAGTGATGGCATCTGAACAACATGCAGTTAACAGTAAATAGTAGAAGTTCATATTCAAATGGTTTCAACCTGAGTTGATTCCACTGACTTCTAGCCCTAATTATTCATGATTAAGAATATGACAAAAGACAATGACAACAGTTTTTTCATATTCATAATGGACCATGCATGAATAATAAGGACTGGAGCAAACAGAAATAGAGGATCAAACTATGATGACCCAATTTTAACTTGAATTTCATTTGAACTACAACATTGTCATTAATTTTTCTAAATGGACTTTCAACCATTTGCTCCGGCCCTGAAAATGTCGCCAAAAAATGCCTTTTGAAGCTAGTTGAGATATTTTCTGGTCACTAACAGTACGTGGTGTAGAAGAATCAAAACTAAAACACAAAATGCTGTTTGTAAGTCGAGCACTATGTTATCTTCTGTTGCTGAAGCAAACAATAGTTAACAAATAAATAGATACAGAGAAGTTAATTACCAAAGAGGCCTTAGTCATCTGTGTAACTCTCCTATGATCATCGTACAGCATCTATGAGAAACAACACATTTTGGAAATATATTATTTCATTAAATAGCATCAGTATCATTGAAAGATATCAACTAGCACCATTATTGTGGTTGTTCTAACTTCCTGCAAAGAAGATAACCATTTTCAATTTTTGGATCAAAGAAAAAACTACAGGAAACTTGCGGATACATCATTTAGCAAATAGAGAAGTCTGGTTATAGAAGATGATCAAAATAAATTGCTGGTATTTAAAGCTGAAATGAAACATCGAAGAAAAATTGCAGCTGCTGTGAACTTCAGTGCTTGTCAACACTACCAATTGTGTGCAATTGTGACATGATCTTTTACATCTCATGTCACTGAACATGTGCGTTGCTTTAAAAATTATCTTGTTGTCTGATGATATTTCTCAAATTTATTTTCTCCAAGGAAAAATAATATCCTATATATGTGCTACATGGCATTATGTTTTCAAAATTAAATTGGGTCATGCCACTGGGACGCACTGATTAGAAGTTGCCACAAAAATCTTAACGTGACTGCCACAACGAGTAGCTTTGCAAGCATGATTTTCATGGATATTTTGTAACTAAAGTTATTGCTTCTGATCCACACAATTGATCCATACAATTATTACTGTCATTCTGATGTTGGGTGCTCTCTTTCAAACACAAGACTAATCACTATTGAGTGAGTGAGTGAGTGACACACTGATTTGCATATTGCAGTGCCTACTGACAGCAACTTGTTGGATATGCCATCGATATCCCAGCCTGCAAGCAAGCTCTCCAGGGCACTCTGGCAGTGGAGCAGGAAAAGGAAGGAGAGCTTGCAACTACATCTCTGGAATTTGAATTCCACTTCCAATTCCCCTATGACTCCCCAACGGCTGAGCTGTCACATTTCCGCCAAACAGCACAAAGTGGAAACAACTGCAAGTGTATACAAACATTAAAAGCCAATGCCAAGGGTAATAACGTCATTACTAATGTCATCTCTGCTAATCAGCATTTCGCATCGACTTTTTTGATGCAGATATTCAAATTCCAGAGACGTAGTTGCAAGCTGCTCCTTCCTTTACCTGCCCCACCGCCAGAGTGCCCCGATCAATATCTCTCTTTCAAACACAAGACTAATCACTATTAAGTGAGTGAGTGAGTGACACACTGATTTGCATATTGCAGTGCCTACTGACAGCAACTTGTTGGATATGCCATCGATATCCCAGCCTGCAAGCAAGCTCTCTGGGGCACTCCAGCAGTGGAGCAGCGAAAGGAAGGAGAGCTTGCAACTACATCTCTGGAATTTGAATTCCACATAACGTCATTACTAATGTCATCCCTACTAATCAACATTTCACATCGACTTTTTCGATGCAGATATTCAAATTCCAGAGACGTAGTTGCAAGCTGCTCCTTCCTTTACCCGCCCCACCTCCAGAGTGCCCCGGAGAGCTTGCTCGCAGGCTATCAATATCTATGAGTTAATAAAACAAACTGGAGTAAATATTGCACAGGTGACAGGTGTTATATATCTTACCAATGTACCATCTGTACAGCCCAGCAGTAGTTTGTCTTCAGCATGATTTCTTTGCTGTGTGACAATGGCAGCTGGACATAAAATAGACAAAATGAGGTGAGGTATTGGTTCTAATGATATAAACCATACTCATCATGAATAGTCATATACAAGTCACCACAAATCAGTAGAGGTTTTGTAAGAAAATGAAAGATTGAGATGAGTGGCATAAATGAATCAATATTATCAACAAACACACAAAGGTGGCCAATAAAGGACAACAAGTAGAGATTTAAAGTTGGCAGCTTGAACAATTCATTGAAAAAATTATTAAAACGATCTTTAATCTGAATTAACTCTCTCCAAATGATCAATGATGAGAACAGTATAGTCATGAAGATTCCCATCCCAAGTAGTCTTAACTTCTTTGGTGTAATCAGCAAAGGTGACTGAAACATTATTAAATATATAGTAAAGTCTCAGTCAAGGTTTCAATATCAGTTTTATGCATAATCAGATAACAAATTCTCACAAGATCTTGTAACAACCCTATGGCATTAGAACCTTGTGTCAAGAAACTTACAAGACCTTGTAAGAATCTTGTGTTAAGAATCTTGTGTGATCTTGTAAGAATCTAGTGTCAAGAATCTTACTAGATCATGTTTTAATTTGTGTGATGCCAACTGACAAAAGCTGGATGGGACCAGATTCGAAAAACAAAGACTGAAGACCGAAGACCTCGAAAACGAAGACCCCTCTTAAACTCACTTGGAAACCGCTTTGAAACTGCCTATAACTACTTCTAAACACTAGAGGAGTGTAAGAAACAACACGGTTGTCAACTATCCAAAATTTTGACCAAGGTCTTCACAGGGAAGACCTAGAAAACGCCAAAGAAGCTCCTGGTGCTAAATGTGATCTTGGCAAGAATCTTGGCATGAATCTTGGCAGGAATCTTGCCATAGATCTTGGTAAGAATCTTGGCAGGAATCTTGCCATAGATCTTGGTAAGAATCTTGGCAGGAATCTCCTTGGTAACAATCTTGGCAATAATCTTGGCAGGAATCTTGGTATAAATCTTGCCACAGATCTTGGCAAGAATCTTGGCAGGAATCTTGGCAAGCTTATAAAACTGACTCTCTTTGTACCCTTTACTAAGAACGGTAAATTTAAACGTACAAAATGTGGACTTTCTCCTAAAGGTTTTTGTATTCTACGCAGTGTAACACGGATTATGGTTAAAACATATAATTGCAGCTGCAACAGGAACATGTATCTTTGTTGATGCAGCAACATAATATTAATAAAGATTGCAGAGTTTTATTTGGAGATATTTTTGTTGTGCTTTCCTTGGGTCTAGCCTTGCGATATTTAACAGGAATGTGCAGCCCAGGGTGGGGAAATTTGGTTGTATTTGACTGGAATGATTTGCCCGTGGGCAGGGAATTTGACTGCAAATTTTGGATGCGGGGACGTCAAACACAGGGACATGGGGGATGTGAATGATTATTGCAAAAGTCGGAGTTAAATGTGATATCAGTCAGTTTCATCGTGAATATGTTTTGGTGAACGCAGCTCACCCTACCCTCCTTATGGTTCCAATATTCCACCAAGGAGACTTAGACATTGGTTTCACTTTCCTCAATGCAGGGGGTCTTCACCACATTACTTGTCATGAAGGATTTCCAAGGTAAGGTTATGCTGCGTTCGTCTTGATTATGACTAAAATCCTAACACATCTTTGCTTGAATCTTGTAAACTTACAAATTATGTCGAGATATCTTTTTCAAAATCTGAGTACTTCTAAACACTACAGGAGTGTAAGAAACAACACGGTTGTCAATTATCCACAATTTTGACCCAGGTCTTCGTTTTCTAGACCTACAAAAATGAAGTCCTAGAAAACGAAGGCCTAGAAAGGGAAGACCCAGAAAATGCCAAAGAAGCTCCTGGTGCTAAATGTCTTGACAGGAATCTTGGCAACAATCTTGGCATGAATCTTGGCAGGAATCTTGCTAGATCTTGGCAAGAATCTTGGTAGGAATCTCGGTAACAATCTTGGTATGAATCTTGCCATAGATCTTGGCAAGAATCTTGGTAAGAAATTTTGGCAAGAATATATGCAAGAATATTGGCAAGAATCTTGGTAAGAATCTTGGTAGGAATCTTTGCAAGAATCTTGGCAAGAATATTGGCAAGCACCTTAACAGGAATATTTGCAAGAATCTTGGCAGGAATTTTAATTGGCATGAATCTTGGTAAGAATCTTGGCAGGAATTTTGGCAAGAATCTTGGTAAGAATATTGGGAAGAATCTCGGCAAAAATCTTGGCATGGATCTTGGCAAAAATTGTGGCATGAATCTTGGCAAGAATCTTGGCAGGAATTTTAATTAGCATGAATCTTGGTAAGAATCTTGGTAAGAATATTGGCAAGAATCTCGACAGGAATCTTGGCATTAATCTTGACAGGAAACTTGGCAATAATCTTGGCAGGAATCTTGGCGAGAATCTTGGCAGGAATCTTGGCAAAAATCTTGGCATGAATCTTGGCAAGAATCTTGGCAGGAATCTTGGCCAGAATCTTGGCAGGAATCTTGGCGAGAATCTTAGCAGGAATCTTGGTATGAATCTTGCCATAGATCTTGGTAAGAATCTCTGCAGGAATCTTGGAAAGAACCTTAGCAAGAACCTTGGCAGGAATCTTTGCAAGAATCTTGGCATGGATCTTCACAAAAATCTTGGCATGAATCTTGGCAAGGACCTTGGCAGGAATAGTGGCAAGAATCTTGGCAAGAATTTTGGCAAGAATCTTGGCATGAATCTTGGTAAAAATCCTGGTAGGAACCTTTGCAAGAATCTTGGCAAGAATATTGGCAAGAATCTTGGCATGGATCTTGGCAAAAATCTTGGCATGAATCATGGCAAGAACCTTGGCAAGAATCTTTGCAAGAATCTTGGCAAAAATATTGGCAAGAATCTTGGCATGGATCTTGGCAAAAATCTTGGCATGAATCTTGGCAAGAACCTTGGCAGGAATCTTGGCAAGAATATTGGCAGGAATTTTAATTGGCATGAATCTTGGTAAGAATCTTGCCATAGATCTTGGCAAGAATCTTAGCAGGAATTTTGGCAAGAATCTTGGCAGGAATCTTGACAGGAAACGTGGTAACAACCTTGGCAATAATCTTGGCAGGAATCTTGGCGAGAATCTTGGCAGGAATCTTGGTGAGAATCTTAGCAGGAATCTTGGTATGAATCTTGCCATAGATCTTGGTAAGAATTTCTGCAGGAATCTTGGCAAGAACCTTAGCAAGAACCTTGGCAGGAATCTTTGCAAGAATCTTGGCAAGAATCTTGGCATGAATCTTGGTAAGAATCTTGGCAAGAATCTTGGCTTTAATCTTGGTAAGAATCTTGGCAAGAATTTAGGGCAAAAATATTGGCATGAATCTTGGTAAAAATCCTGGTAGGAATCTTTGCAAGAATCTTGGCAAGAATATTGGCAAGAATCATGGCATGGATCTTGGCAAAAATCTTGGCATGAATCTTGGCAAGAACCTTGGCAGGAATCTTGGCAAGAATCTTGGTAAGAATCTTGGCAAGAATCTTGGCTTTAATCTTGGTAAGAATCTTGGCAAGAATCTTGGGCAAAAATCTTGGCAAAAATCTTGGCAGGGATCTTGGCAAGAATCTTGGCAGGAATCTTAGTAAGAATCTTGGCTTTAATCTTGGTAAGAATCTTGGCAAGAATCTTGGGCAAAAATCTTGGCAAAAATCTTGGCAGGGATCTTGGCAAGAATCTTGGCAGGAATCTTAGTAAGAATCTTGGCCAGAATCTTGGTAAGAATCTCGCCAGAAATCTTGGCAAGAATCTTAGCAGGAAATGTGGCTGCGAATCTTGGGACAGAAATCTGGGCAGGACCCCTGAATTTAACTTGCTCGCCACAATCTGACCGCAGTGCTCTACTATCTGAATGCCTGGAACTGGCTATTGTAATCTTTGTGCTAAGAAGAACTTTTTACATCAGGCACTTTTTTCACGATCATTCAGTGTTCAAGTAACTTTTATAAGGCTTTTTTGCTTAACCTCTTTAGTTGCCGAATAATTCTCTTTGTGCTACCATGGCAGATCACATGACTTTAATATGCTATGAAGCGAGTCATTTAACACGCTGCTGGAAATAAAAGATTAAGCATGTTAAGACATGCAAAACAAAAGCTACCATGACACTTGTTTGCTTATTAAATATGCACATGTGCATGTCAGATGTCACGCTTAGCATGCTATGTTATCGCAAGCGTTTCTGTTTCGTCACCGTTATGCTGGAAATCCTGTAGAGGATCACATTTTTGCTAACTGATGTACTGTTTGTTGTCTGTCCCGTTGTGTGTAGCGAAAGTTGATGTTATATTTATCTGGCTCATGATTGCTTGGTTTGTGAGAATGAGGATGACTACAAGAAATTAAGACATTACATTAAACTTAGAAATATTGATAAGCTCATTGATTTGATCTCAGTAAATTAAGGTGCATGAAATTGTGTTTTAAAATTTAACAGAAAAGTACACAAAGTGGTGCAAACATAGGGATGGTGATTTTAATTAACTCAAGAAAGCAGCGAGTTGAGTTATAACATAGTGACATATTTTTACCACCACCTAGTTAGCTCAGTTGGGAGAGCACCCGTCTGCTGAGCAAGTGGTCATGAGTTCAAAGCCCAGTCGGACCAACACTCAGGGTCTTTAAAATAACTGCACAAAGGAGAAAGTACAGTGCTGCCTTTGTAATGACATCTGCGAACAGTTAGACTCCCTTAGAAAAAATTCTACCCTGCAAAAACCCTGTGAGAGCCCCGTAAAATCCTGTTTCCAGCCCTGTTTACGTTCTTTCAGGGCTGTAAACTGGCTGTAACAGGGCTGTGACAAAGCTGCAACTTACCTGAGTTAAAACAAGTGGAGCTGTGAAAGGGCTGTAAAAGTGTACATAGTTAAGTGTAACAAGCCTGTTACATGGCTGTGAAAATATCCAGTTACCGTAACAGGGTTAAGACAGGGCTACCTAGTAATGCAGAAGAACTAGCACAGGGATGCAGAATCACGGCTGTGTTAGGTACATTTGACAGTAACCAGGTTACTGCAGAGCTGTGCAGGGGCGTAGCCAGGATTGTTCAAAGGGGGGGTCACAGAGGCTACTCACCAGATGGTCATGTCGACCTCCACACCCATATTAACTAAACACAAGAGCCGTTGACGAAAATACTTCACAAAAAAACAAATTTTGAAAAAGTGGGCTTTGCAACAATGGCTTTTACGGCCAAGATATTGTCATGGCGTTTTCGCTACCTGAATATTGTAGGTTGTTTGCTCAAAAGAAGGCCTACCTAGGAGGGGGCACGGGCACCCCAGGACCCCCCCCCCCAGCTACGCCCCTGCTGTGAGATCACAAGCACAGTAGTGTAGCCAAGTAAGGTCAACTCTATAAATCATGAAAGATGGCAGTATTTTTGAAAGTCTAAAAGTGTTAAAAGAAGCGAGGGTCGGCTAGATCGTTAAAACAAATAAGACGAAAAAGAACTTGCTGAAAATGATCAGCTTACCATTTTTACAAACACCTATTTCATCAGCTCCTGTTCTTCCTGTTCTTTTAAATAAAAAAAACACCGCAGTAGCTTAATTACTTTTTTACAGCAATGTACTAAAAATGAAAGACTTTCAGATCACTTTAATTTGTTTTCCTGCGTGAGAGATCTCTGCAAGCTTGGAGATCGAGAGGCCTTCAATATTTTCATTACGTGATGGACACGCAATCGGTAATTCCTTGGAGAAATCTTAATCTTATTGGTCAGCACTTTTACCAGAAGATCGCATTACACATCTCCATTCCTGAAACTACTCGCGATCATTTTGAATGAAAGGCGAAGATATTCAGACGTTTTCTGCATCCAGTTTGGATTCAAAAAGTCTGTAGAGCGTTTTTTGCTGCTTTTGAAGCAGAGAGTGAAAAAGTATCAGCAAAAAAATAACTGTGCTTTAAGCAGCTCTTAACGAATGGGAAGCAGATCGATCTAGTGGACAGAAAACATTCCGCGGCACTTGCAAGATTCAAAGATTGTTTGCCCTGCAAGTTCATTTAGTACACCATTGAACAATTCAGCAACAACTGAAACACCAATGGATTGGCTCTTTTCATGAGGAAATGTATCACATTGTGGATCATAAAGGAAAGACGATCGAGGTGAGCGATTTCAATTAAGCTTGTTACAACGAACCAAAAAGAATTATTATAAACTGCCAACCTCGAAACCGTTGGTACAATGGAACTATTCCGCGTTTCGATCATCTCTTATAATTGCTGACAAAAATCGTTTTTTTGTTTTTTGACCTCGGTTATTGTAAAGTCGGCATTTTTACGTGCTAGTTGTACATTAAATCGAGCGACTATGACCAAGTGTTTAACAAGCCAGATCAGACTTTTGCATGCAGTTCAAATTTTGTTTTGTTTATATTTTTACACATTGTAACATGTGATCGTGAAAAATAAAGTAACGTTAAGTTCTTAATTGACTATAATTATTTTCTGTTTTCCTTTATTGAAAGTGAATGTTTGTTGTTTGCATGGCTTTTGCTACTTAAGTGACTAAACGGACTAAACCAGCCGTTAGTGGTTTAACTTTGAAGCTTTTTATGGGGCAAATCGTTCCTTTTTCATGAGTTCAAATATGCCTAAAAAGCTAAATTTTCATCTTTAATAGATGTGACCCTCTTTGGGAAAACGGACACTAACGCTTTTCCGTTTAAATGGTGAAACCGTTTACTATCCGTTTAAATCCGTTTACTAGGTTCATGCAAGCGTTTAAACGGTTTGCTTATCCGTTTAAAAAAAAGTTGCATCCGTTTAATGCTTTAACGAAAACGTTTAAACGGTTTGCTTATCCGTTTAAAAAAAAATTGCATCCGTTTCATGCATTCGTGAAAACGTTTAAACGGTTTGCTCATCCGTTTAACGCTCTAGCGAAAACGTTTAAACGGTTTGCTTATCCGTTTAAGAGGAAAGCAAGCAGCGTTTAAGAACTGCGAGCAGAACTATGAAGCATGGTCGCTCGATACTCGCCGATACGTGAACTGCCGAACAACTGTAAAGTATTTTTTACGTATTTTTAGTTCTAACTTATCCTTGTTTTGAGAAGGCGAGTAATCGTCGTATCCTTGGAGAAACGGCTAAAAATTTAAATAAGTTAAAACGTATTGCATCGAGAGCCGATGAAGCCATTCGTTCAAAGGAGAGTGCGGCGACGCAAATTTCCCTTTCGTAAACGGTCGTTGCCATTTGAAACGGTCGATGCCATTTCTCAGAACGGTCGTTGCCATTTGAAACGGTCGATGCCATTTCTCATGACGGTCGATGCCATCGTAAAGGTCGATGCCAAGAAGGAACCGATATTTCCGACTCTCTCCGACGACATGCGTGACAATCAGAGCAATGCGTGACTAGCTTTCCTACAAACCATCGCGATTTTTATCAAATCAAAATGGCGGACAAACCCGACAATTTTCTCAAAGATCTAATATCTTCAGCTATAAAAGAAGTCGAATCGAAAAGTAAATCTTTTGAATCGACCGAAATTACAAAGGAGAGTTTTCTGGCTTCGCTTCCAGATGATTCATTTTACTACCTGAAGGCAATTTCAGGAAATGGAGAAAAGTTCAAAGTGCACTTTTTGACCGAAGATATAACGAAAGAAAACCTGGAGCAGTGGATATCCGAATATGAAGTGATAAACAGCATCTCAGTGAAGTTAAAGACAAAGAAGGCACCAACAAGCGGCTATGTGTTGCAAAACTACTATAGATGCCAACACAACACTCGCAACTGGAGTCCAAGTAAAGATCCACAGCAGAAATTGTACTTGAACCCATCTGCCAGAGTAAAGAACACCAATTGCCCCTTTCAGATGATAGTCAAAATAGACAGCGAGGGATGTTGTTCTGTGGACATAGAGTGGGAACACAACCATTCACTTGAAACTCTGGAGGCCTCTAATTTCCGTGACCTTTCTCCTGAGTGCACAGAAAGGGTTTTGAAGTTGTTTGAAAGTGGGCATACACCAGCAACCGCAAGGCAACAGTACTTGAAAGAACTCAAAGAATCATGTCAGGATGAATTGGAATTTCACAGGAAAAAGGCCAATCGGGCAGTTATGCCGAGAAAAAGGGACTTTAGTTACCTCTACACGCAATTTGGTAAGGATAGGTATGGTGGACAGGGCGTTATGATGTTTGAAAGACTTTCCGAAAGGCTTCAACAATACAAGAAAGACAACCCTGAAGCTACTACTTGTTACCAGATGTATGAAGGTGATGATACGCCTCTTATAATTGCTATTGTAACGCCTCTCATGAACCGTGTACACAAGGAAGTGCAGCAGTCTGGTGAGATGGTTTTTGTTGATGCTACTTCTAATACAGAAGAGCACAATCTTAAAGTGNAAATGAATAAAGTTCATCAGATACGGCTTTTCGGACGGTATTCCGGTTACATTTGACCAAGAGACTTCAAGTTATTATGCTCCATGTTTACTATCCGTTTAGCGTTCTAAGTAACTGTTTTTCCTGGAACGATCTTGCCGACTCATCCGTTTTCAAACGTTTCCAGCTGTCCGTTTGTGGACTTAGGTCAACCGTTTAACGGTTTAAGCTATCCGTTTTTGGAGTTTGGTCAACCGTTTAACGTTTCGAGCTAACCGTTTATATTTTTGGTCAACCGTTTAACGCTTCAAGCTATCCGTTTTTGGACTTCGGGCAACCGTTTAAATTTTTTGCTATCCGTTTAAAGAGTTATGGAAACCGTTTAAACGCTTGAGTTAACCGTTTACTATCCGTTTAGAACCGTTTTTCTTGACGGTTTAACGGAAAAGCGTTAGTGTCCGTTTTCCCAAAGAGGGTCACAGATATGAAGTTATAAAAAATTATGTTCTGATAGTATTATAATCCTAATGTGTAGAAGTTAAACAGCTAGCCTGTCTAAAGTGTAGATTTTGTGAGAGGAAGTGTCACAACATTGGCACCTGGTAAAAAAACAGCCCTGTTAACTGCCAATTAACAAGTTGTAACAGGGTTGTGATGCATAAAACCTGTACCAAGGCTGCTAAGGGAATGCCACAGTGTAAAAACAGCCTTGCTAACTGTGCCAATTCACGAGCTGTGGCAGGGATGTCCACCACAGGGTGGAAACAGGGTTGTAACATGGCTGTTACAGGGTGTCTACTAAGAAATTTTGCGTTAAACGTGACAGGGCTGTTCCAAGGCTGCTACAGTGTAGAAACAGCCTTGCTAACTGTGCCAAATGACGAGCTGTAACAGGGTTGTTACAGGTTAGTTTTACAACCCTGTTCCAGTGATGCTACAGAGCTCTTACAGGATAGAAATTTTGTTAAGGGCTTTCTAGTCTTCTCGGATAAGGGCGAAAAACCGTAGGGTCCACCTCACAGTATTTTCACTTATCTGGTTCTCGTGGCATGTAAAAAAAACCCACACCACTGTTCCCACGAAATTGAAGCCTACTAAATGCCCAGAAACAGAAAAAAAAATGAGGCAAGAAAAGCGAAAAAAAGAGGGGAGGAGAGAAAGTGAAAAGTAAAAGTCCAGACTACTGGGCCACTTTTAAACCCAAAAGCTATCTATAAGTTTTGCTTTCTGTGAATGCCCAAAGTTTGCAAGGTAATATTTTACATCTGGATCAGGAGGCCGTGAAGTATACGATTTGTAAATGGCTTTATGGTAAGCTCTAACTCTTTATAGCACAACAGTGACCAGAAAACTGCTCGACTAGCTTCAATTCGGCAAAATTTCCGGGGACAAATGGATGAAATAACCACTTAACAGGACAGTGCTTATATAAGTTAGTGCTAAGAGACGATGCTCATTGAATGACAAGCCCCTTGCTGATTATCAACAAATTACCTTCCTAATAGATAATGAAGAGGAAGACAAGAGCAAACTTTGTGTAAGAGAAGTATTCTAGCAATGCTGTTCATGGGACAAGGGGAAACAAACCAATAAGTAAACAAACATGGTAGTTAAAATACAAAAACAAATAACGGCCAAAAAAGGGAAAGAAAACCTTGGCTGAGATTCAAACCTGGAACCACCTGCACTAATGCTGAACAGTTTCTTAATCAGTACTCATATCTCAGTTGTTCAAAAATGCATGAATGGGATCAGTATAATGTGTTTGAAAATTGCCCTGCTATCCCTTCCCTAACCCAACATTTTGCCCCAAGTAAGGGATTAGTGTAAATGTTGGGTTAGGGATGGGGTATGTGGGCAGCTTTACATAACCTTACTCTGATCTGTTGTGGGTTTCTACTTTACGAAAAACTAAAAGAAAAGTCTACCTGACATAACTGAAAACTTATTGCAAATGAGTTATAGGATAAATGTAGATATACTGTAACATACCTTTTACTGGGATAGTCGTAACAGCTACCCTTTCAATCTAAAGGTTTTAAAATATAGAATTACAAAATTATATAACAAACTAAAAAATTACTACTTAAGTGACCATCAACATGCAGGTCTGTAATAATTGCTATTCTATTCAGGACTATGGTTACCCAGACAATTATTTACTGCACATACACTAATACCATGACAATAACAAATTTAAAACTATTTATGATGGTAGACATAAAATGCTCATTGTTCACCACAAGGTAGGCACATTGTCTTTTGTGGAGACTTTATAAACGGTCCTTTTTTAAAGGAATGTATGGCTATTTAAGAGGTGAGTCCTTGATGGAGATAGGATAAAAATTATAAAACAATGCTTATAACATTATACCTAAAAAGTTTGGGATACTCGGATAAGGTTCAAGACGCCCTGTAGACAGGAAGGCAGACAGTTTACAGTTACTACTTACACAAGAAACTATCATAAATATAGAGTTGTCTGCATATTTAGAAAGAGTCTTTTTTTGCAGGAGCAATTTAGATCATTGAGAAAAATATAAAAGTATAAAGCTTACAAACTCAAGACAACTACATGTACTCCTAGAAATTAAGTGAAAGTACTGATGCTTATTATTTTTATGATAAGAAGATGCACACTGAAACTGTTTACTTCAGTTGCATAATGCATCTGCAGAAATATTTCTGCCCATTTTTATTTCTGGATCTTTTGTTAAACTCTTCTCAATCAACTTGTTTTAGCAAGAAAAAAATGCATTATTTTGCAATCCTACTGACATGGAATACTCCTGGGATGCTTTTGACGTTTCTTCGCCCTCGAATTTTTAACTAGTGATAAATCACTGCTGTTTATGTTATAAACATTACTTAAATTATCAAATTTTACCTCCATATTAAATAAAATATAAAACTGATGAGGGCAACTCATGTCAACAATCATTGCAACAGAAATACTCTTGAAGCATTCATAGCAACCATTGCAACATTATATTAGTAAATGCACAGGGTAAAGACAGCAAACCTAGAAATAGCTCCCTAGGGTAGCTATCACAATAACCATAATTATGGTGGCCCACAACTGTCACGACAAAACCAAAAACCACACGGCGAAACCAAAAACCTCACGGCAAAACCAAATACTTCACAGCAAAAGTAAAATTAGCTTTGGTTTTGCCATGGATATTTGCTTTTGCCGTGAGGTATTTGGTTTTGCCGTGAGGCTTTTGGTTGCCATGAGGTTTTTGTTTTTGCCGTGAGGTTTTTGGTTTTGCTGTGAGGTATTTTGTTCTTGCTGTGAGGTTTTTGGTTTTGCCGTGAGGTATTGTGTGTTTGCCGTGAGGTTTTGCTGTGACATTTGTGGGTCACCATACATAATAGTTAAAGTAATGCAAATAACAAAATATTAATATTGAAGATATGTGCATTTGAGCTGAGCAGTCACATTGAAACAGCTCTGCCAACTCTAGAATTTTGTTATGATGTTGAAGCTTATGAAGCAAATTATGATTGCAGAGAAAACTAAGCAAGTAAGACAGGAACCATTACATGACATTGTTTCTCTCCTTTGCAAAACCATTACTTTGTTAATCTCTCTTTTTCAAACCCTTTTCAAATACTGTAATATTAGAACTTGTGAGACTGACCTGCCTTGATTAGCTTAGCTATCTGCTGGTCCGTAGAATTGTAAACATATTGTAGCATATAAAAAATGACTTGATCTTCAAATAGAAGTATTGTTGTTGATAAATTATTTGTTTGTTGCAGAGGGTTTAGATGAACTAACCTTAGTGCCTGTGTATTCATAAATACAACTGTCCACACTAGAATCACCACCACCTGCTGATGACTGCTCCAATGTGTGCACATGGTGTGGTTGATTAAAACTGATGAAAGATTTCAGATACACTGCTGGTTATTTACAACTTTTCAAAGCACCAGAGAATGTTTTCAATTTATACGCTACACACAGCTCTCTTTACTGGATTGAAATCCCATTTGGCCTGTTCTGAGCACCAGCTATATTCCACTGCCGAGTTGTTCAAAGCTGGATTAAGATAACCCAGGGTTAGTGCGAGATTTGGATCAGTTTTGAAAGCTTAAAAGGCATTTAAGTTTTAGATCTTTTTGTCTACAAGTTGATGATTGCATGGAGCTCTAAAAATAGCACAGAAAATTATCCGAGAAAATACTTTTGAACACACGGAAAAGAATACTGGATTAAATTGAACCCCAGGTTAAGCGCTAATTGGCCTTCGAACAACTGGGCCCAGTATTTTAGATCAAACTTTCTCAGCGATGAGAAAGATAATTTTCTTAGTGAACCTTACATGTTGACACGACGTTCTCTTTAGAGGAGAGTTTTTGAGGCCAGAGGCTGCACATTTCATCTGGTTGTTTGCCATTGTATATTTGTTACTTTGATGCCAATATTTGAGGGTTTTTTAAATTTTTTTATTATCATTTTTTTACTGAAGCAACTCATGAAATTACTGACTAGAGGATAACAGAATATGCAAGTACCTAAGTTTCTTTGCTGCTTGATTGTTTTCCCTTTTCATTTAAATGAAATTGAAGTGACAAAGATTACAACCTCAGTTATTGTACCTCATCATCTTTTTTGAAAAAAAAAATTGCCACGATAAACAACTGAAAATTCTGTTGTTGCCATTCCCCCTTCCCATTCCTCTACCAACTGCCCAGTTTCATTAAAAATTGTCCTTTTTAAAGAGAATTGGAGAAAACTCGAGCCTCGCCTGGGAAACTGATTCCTGGGTTCCAGAAATGCTGGAAACAGTGTTCCTGAGTGTGCTATTTCAAAAATGTCCTGGGGGGCCTGCCCCCAGACTCCCCTATGTAACTTGCACCTTTGGTGCTCACAAGGCGCCCTTCAGTGCCAAAAAAATTTGGCCTCTGGTACTTTGAGAAATATGTCCACTACTTTAAAAAACTGTTGAAAACCCAGCTAGAGAGGGTACTTTTTAGAAATGACAAACAGTCATGATGTGTTGCAACACAGTATATGATAAACATCTCTTTTGTAGGGCACTTTTTGACATAAATATATAGTGAACTGAAAAAGAGAACCAAAGAAAAGGCTATCAGTCTGTGGGACTAGACTGTCCTAAAATAGCTATAACTTCAGTGTAGTCCCTCTTTTCTCTGGACACCTGTCTTAACTTAGCACCAGATAACCACCAGTTTGACACCAACTGTTTCCCCTTTTCAACACATAGTGCAGAAATTGCTCTTAAAATTAATGTACAACCAATTATCAGTCAACCGTAGAGTTGTCTTACTGCAGAAATCTACATCCACTTCATGGAGATTAGACACCACATAACACACCTGAAGGCAGCGTGGATGGGATCGCATTCTGTTCTGACAAAGCCAAGTAACTCCAACTTTGGCCTGGAAAAAATGATTCAAAAGGAAATGGTAAAAAACAATGACTGATATGCATGGCTGGATATGTATAATATAGGAAACAATAATACCAAAAAGATCATTATATTGTTAAGAGAGTATTGTATCAGGAGTACCAAAAACTCTTGCCATGTGAAAATCGAAGGCACCTTGCATAATTGCTTCCCAAGACTCTTCCTATTACGGACTTGTGGATACAATTATCAGTGTCTCATCTCAATTTTGTTACAAAAGTACACGTCAAATGGGCAAAGGGCAGAATCGTACAACCCTGAGACAGCAGTAAAATGGATTAACATGGCTTAAGCTATATGACCCAGCGAACGGAGACATACTCCTGGTGGTCGCTTCTCTCCACCCGAAAGTTTTGGATGAAGTGATGACTGGAATTATGTCTGTGTTTTTGCAGGCTAAGAGTCAACGGTAAACAAGGAAGGCTTTGTTTGATGGGTTATTTAACAATTAATGATTAAGGCTGAGTATCTTATGAAGAATTACGGCGATCGAGGAGGGTGTTATCACGGATAACACCCTCTGAGATCTCCATAATTCTTCATAAGATACAAAAGCCGAATTCAATAATTGTTTTATTATTCATTCAAAATTATTCCTAGTTTAAAAACATAGCTAAAACAAGCTTACCTGCATCGATGTTAAGTTTATCTTCGATAGTTTACGTTTAGGTTTGTCCAGCTCCCCAAATATTCTCCAAATAGCAGATGTCGCCCTCTGAGTTGTCTTCTTGCAGTTTTTGCTATGTTTTTAGCCATTATTTTGCCTAGTTCCAGCTGTGGTTCTTACTCTTGAAACGAGTGAAGCGTCCGCCATTTTAGTTTTTACAACGAAAACAACTCGATCTGGTCCCCAGGTCTTCCCGGTTAATGCTGCATTAACCTGTAGAAGGCTGCATTTTTGACGTCATATCCTCGTTAAACACAAAATTCTTCCAAATTTGGTCATAAGTAACCTGTTATGGTGAATTATGCGTGTGCTTTTAGCCAATCAGAATTGGGGAAATATTTTGAATGAATAATCAATTAATTCATTATAATTATAAAATATTTTGTAGTCTGTGAGAAAGTGTCCCTTATCAAATCCATTCTCTATGACAGCTCATACAAAATAATTGTCAAAAGAATATAGCAACTTTTAACTCATTTTTCTCTAAAGCTTTGTAAAAAAAAAACACACAAGAGTACTTCATTGGTTAGTTTGGAAAGAAACAAATTCACTATCTCTCTGATCTTTTTCCACTGTAGTACAAATGTAGATGTAATGATATCTTGTTACCCATTCAAACCAAAGATGACCATATTTGCCCTGTCTTTCTCGCCTGTCATTGGAGACCAAGGCCATGCTTCTTCGCTGTGACTTACTGACCACCAAACAACTACCTGAAATAAGTTCAGCCAGGTATTAAAATAATTAACAACCCTCCAAGTTGCAACCATTTTAGTCACCATGGTGCTTAAAATTTTGGAACTGATTTGGAAAATAGTCGCCAAGTTGGTGACCATGAAGAATAGCCGTTTGTATAGAAACAAAAATGGTAATCATTTCTACTGACATATGAAGAACATTTATTCTAGCTGATTTGATTACTATTGCTTTTTTAGTTTTCCATTGAAAAACATGCTAAATTGACAACTTAAAAAAGTCCCAGAGCTAAGCATTTTGAAATGAACATCCATGAAACTTGACCTGCATTCTTTCGCCTTGCACATGACATTCTAACCTTATGCCACGTGTCAGTTAGCATGTATTCGAAGTGCCTTACTTGTCAACAGTGTTGATTTCTTCGATATCTTAGGAATGCTTGTCTGGCCAAGCATGGTGGTCTTTTAATAGACCTTTTTACCGATACGGCGGCCATATTGAATTAATTCGATTTAAGGAGTATTATAGGATGCCCAGGGGGCATGAGCACATTTCGTTTGTATTTTAGAGCGCTTTTCGGGACATTTTTTCTTAAAGTTTTCTTAGAATAAGATTCTAATGGGAAAAAAGATCCTTGTGCCGTGTTTGGATGTAATAATGATCGCCTTTTTGCTGAGAAATATACAGTGAAAGACCATATTTGTAATACTAAACTAGAAAAGGCGATCATTATTACATCCAAACATGGCACAAGGATCTTTTTTCCCAATACAATCTTATTCTAAGAAAACTTTAAGAAAAAATGTCCCTAAAAGCGCTTGAAAATACAAACAAAATATGCTCATGCACCCTGGGCATACTATAACACTCCTTTAATTGAATTAATTCAATATGGCTGCCGTATCGGTAAAAAGGTCTATTGGACTACATATTTTAAATATTTTTGAATCCATAAACAGTCTAGATAAGAACACGAAGAGGGAAAGGTAGATTGGTACAAAGTTAACACAGAAAATTGTGTAATAACCATAACATGAGAGCGGAGCAGTGAGTTGAATTGCGATTTTGTAAATAGAAGCGATAATTGTAAGCCATTGCAAAAACTGACAGCTCATGGTTGTTGCAACAAATTTATTTGTTACACACCTGTCGCGAGGATAAAGTAAAAAGAAAATCTATTATTTCAAAAGCGGATTTTTGTTTGGGCTCCTTTCAATGGATTGGGGAAAAAAGGACACCATCAAATTAATGTTCCATGAAGGCAACACAAAATCTTACCATATCTTGTCTTGAATTGACGGACAAATGTCTCTGAAGTCTTTTAATTGATGGTCCAGGGACATCAACGTATGAGGTCTGGTGAAAAGTAAATGGAAATAAGACCGTAGTACAAGTACTGTGGTTTTAAAATACACATAATGTAGAGCCCCCAGTAGCTCAGTGGTAGAGCATCCAATTAATCTAGAAACTGGAAGGTCATGGGCTTGAATTTCTTCTGGAGCTTAGAAATTTTTCTAAGCTTTCTACTGTGTGATTTCTCTTCCTTTCAAATTATTATTGTTGTACAGCCTTGGTCTTGTATGACGGTGAACAGCTGATTTTCATTGCCTTTTAAAATTATATTAAACTAGCTTTATCCCATGCTGTTATATCATGTGTGTTACGGTGTTCCCTCTTGGGAGAGTTGTTACTTTGAAGCCAAGTTACTGCTAATCCTAATAAAGTTAACCGCAATCAGAAAATATGAGTTACCATGGTAACTAACCCTCCTGAATTTGCACTAACCAGCAGCCTTCAAGCAACTCAGGTCTAGGGGCTCAAATGCCTGTTTCTTTGCTTGTGGATTGAAAACTTGGTATAAAAGGGAGAGGGAAGGGCTTATTTTTCATAAAGTTCATTATGTCATTGCAGATCATGTCACTGTCAGGTAAAGTTTTTTTTCAGAGAAATGTTGGTAAAAAATGGTGTGTGTAAAAAAAAATTGATTGAGAACTAGTTAACAATTATACACCACTGTGCTACAGTGTATAATGGCTGTGGCTGCACTTAGCAAGTTAATAGGGTTAGTTATTATGGATGGCAGGACTCAACTTAGAATTTCACAAAAACCTCTGAGGTCATGTGGCTTTGTCTTATTGCTTGCTTGGGTTGCTCATAACTATTGCTTTGTGTGCTAATGTCTTAGAGTTACTGACAAAATTTTACCCCCGTATTAGTGATTGTAGAGGCAACTTGGTGCAAGTCTACAATACTTGTCACAAATTGTTGAAACAGAAACCTTTTCTCTTAAATGTTCTTGAAAATTTCTTACATTCACTCTTCACACCTTTGTTCTTGCCCAGATAGCCCCTCTCCTTCCCTAATGTTGAGCCATGTGTATTTTAGAGCACTGAGACGACTGTAATACCCAAATCAACATTGGGGAAGAAGAAACGCTCACAAGTGTTTCAAGATTTTTGACGAGTGTTGTAGACTCAATTATGCTAAGAAAGAAAAGCTGAACTTGAACACACAAGACGGAAGAAGTAACTTTTAAAACAGTAGTACTTGTCTGCATGGTGAAGCCTATACTGTAGTTGAAAATTCCTACATGTAGGCAGAGATGATTGATCTTAACCTTAACCTGGGTTAAACTACTCTGTCACATGGCGTAAAATGTATCAGACATATTCACCTTTAATTTTTACCTGAAGCAACTTCTGATGGGCTCATGGAGTTTGTGGCACCTCAAACTCCTCCAGCCTATCAGAAAGGGTAGGAGGGGGGCCCATGAGTGGAATTTATGGTATAGTTAAAACACATTACATATAAAATGCAAATAACCCATATTTCTGGCACCTTGGGCTCAAGTGTAGACAGCTTATCAAGCTTCTTAAAGTCAAGGCTTGGTTTCTTGTTTAGGTAGACATAGCAAAGTTTGGCTCTGTCCATGAGCGAGAACAATAGAAAAGAATCTGCAAGAATTGCTGAAAATAAATATGACAATTCATTGTTAATAATAATAATAATGCTAACTTTGCTATAATGGGTAATATGCTACTTTCAAAGAAACATAAAGAAAATGAAACAAAAGAACTTCCTTGCAGGTTTGCATGTTCAATTCCCTGCCTACTATTTGTAAATACCTGACAACTTGACATCCTATTGACAGCACTTACCTATTCTCAATGGTAATATAAATTATATCCACAACCCGGGCAACACATTTTCAACTGATTAGAAATAAGGTCCAAACTTAATGCACAAAATATTTGTACAGGTTGATCTCAAGTAAAAAACAATTTCATGCATTAATTGATAATCATGTTCTCTTGTCTTCTCTGACCATCATCACCTGACCGTATCGTGGGCTCAGGTATCGGCCCACTGAGTTTGAGTTTTTTGAAGTAATCCGCTGACAAGTTACTACTTTTCAAATGATTGCAGGCTCAAGTTCAATTTTTTTAACGTATAGGAAATGGGAAGTTGTGTTTATAAACCGCACCATTAATTTCTAATTTCAAACTGACCTCGGACACGAGAATTCAGCCAGCTTTTACAGACAGGAAAGTTGCTTTTGACCTTTCTCACCATGGTCACGCATTGGTCACGCTCTACGTCCAATTTTTATGTTCTGATTGGTCAAAAGTTGACAGGTGAGTTCATGCAGAAAATTTATGCTGCATCTTGAAACTTGTTTACGGATAGCTGAAACTGACAGAGTTTTTTGTGAAGCTTTTAACTGTCTTTTTCCACTGGATGCACAAAATGAAATACAGTTGCTAGCAAGATTCTTATGTTATTCAAGGCTGGTTTGTTTATAATTGGTTTTTTGGTTGAGAAATGCGCTGCTTGTCAAAGTCATCGGGAAACTGATTTCGGATGGATCGCTTTTACTCACTTCCCCTTGCTCAACGTGTAATAATATAAAGAGGATTCAAAAAAGTCTCAAGCGATTCTGATGGCCTACAGGAGCTGCATCTTGACTGGCATGGAAAGCCTGAGTTATCACTGTATTTGATGTGTTTTTTATCTGGTTTCCTAAAGTCGAGCATAGTTTCTGCGCCTAGTTTATGCACAAAACAATGATCTGACCTACAATAGCATCAGGTTTGACTTAAGTTTACAGAGAAAATGTTCCGAGGAATACAAAATATTTAGTTATGCTTTTGGCTGTAAAAAGAAAGCTCTGAGTGATATTCTTGCCTCGTGGTTCATCTTGAAGTAAACACAGGGAAGCCAGCTTAAATCTGCAAGGTTTTTGAAGTTTATGAGCTTATGCTTACCTGATTCATGATTTTCAGAGACACTCTCAAAACTTATCGTTGTGAATGAAAATTGTTGTCTCCGTACATGTTTCACTGAGTAATGTTTATTTTACTGATTGTTAGTACTCTCTTTTTTCTCAATTTAATCGCTGCACAGGTTATTTTCAGTCGAACATATAACAAAAACATTGCCCGCAGGAGTACTCAAAATGCTGTGCGTAAATATCACATAACAAAACCACAAATAAAGGGAAATAAAACCTAAACATAATAAGTTCTCTATCATGTTGTAGCTTAACTCTATTAATGTTCATTCAAACGGCTCTGACAGCTCGGACCGCAAATTTGGTGCTTGACAAAAGTGAGAACCCGTCCGCCTGGCCATATAGGTGACTTTGGAAATTTTTTGATCATTTTCACTAAGAGCCCATTATTATTACCCTGGATATCACACAAGCAGATTTTTCCAATTAAACAGTCCTGGTATTATGGAAAATTCTCTTCATGAAAACGTTTTATAATGTGGTCAATTCTATAATTTTTTGCTCAAATTTTGACCCACAACACTACTTTCCATCGCTCATATTATATCATATCATACCTTGGCTAATTTGTTCAGGAATCTTCCCTGCCAAGCTTTTATCAACTGATATTTTTTCAATATCTCCAGAGTTCAAAGACACAAGAACAGACACAACAGCTCCATTGGTTAAAAGCAGCTATTTAAAAAAGTGAAAAAAAATTAAAGGCTAATTGTTAAGCTCTAGTATCCATACACCAATTCTCCAGACTGAACTCTCTACATTTCCTTTCAGTATAAGTACAGAGAATTTGATAAGAGATCAAAGCATTTCTTGGTGATCATTTTATTAATTCTTACAATAATATCTTGGTTAGGTATCGATATTGCTATCAGGGAACATTGATGTTGGTCATGTTTGGGACTAAAAGGATTAACAGACAAATGGCAAAAATACTATACATCATTTAAAGCTAATAAACAAAATAATTATTATCATTAAATAATCACAATTACCTGAATATTCCTTAAAGTCCTCCATCTCATGTCAACAACCTTACAGTTCTGAAGCATGTCCTAAAATTGAAAGTCATGGTGAGATTACATTCTCAAATTATTCTGCTTCCTGATTTGTAGAAGTCTTTGTTAGCACAGAAACTTTTACAATGTAAGTGAAAAGAAACACTGTTTCCAAATTTCAGAGGAACGAAAGAAAGACAAGTCTAGAGTACGAAGCAAAATGTTATGGTAATCTAGAGCAACTAAACCAGTGTTTGGTTTGTGCAATTCCCTTTATAACCCTTAATGGTTTGCTCAACACAGTTATCTTCCTCACCAAAATTTATTTAATATCATTTTGCTCAACACCAATCCAACCAATTTTAATTAGCTTGCATAATAAGACTTATTATGACACTTAGTGTCTGCCAAATTCATTGAGAAAGTTGAAATGAGAGCAAAAAAGAGATCAAGGGGGTTGGGAGAAAGGAAATGTTTGCTTTTTAAACCCTCAATTCTGGAAGAAGTATCAAGAGCATTCTTCAGAATTAATGTCATTGTGTTCAATGTTATAATTAAAAACTAATGTACTCCTTAATCAGATCAGTGTGTGACTGCATGGGGAAATGTTATTAAAATTGGATCTTTGGTCATGTATTAAAGCAGGGGTGGATCCAGGATTTTTCAATGGGGGGTCGCAGATACCAATCATCCACCAAACTATACATTAATTTATTTTAAGTTGTCCTACGTTTGTCCCAAAACATGGCGATTTAGGAAGGAGAAATAGAGAGGAGAAGTTGGTACATCATGTTGCCATGGTAGCAAAATTTTTGGATAACAACAAACCGATAAAGTCACTTGAAAGTCTATTTGCACTATATTTAAAGCTTCACCATTCTTATTCAATTTCATTTAATTTGAAAAATCTTGGCAAAATTTTCTTTGGGACTGTATCTATCGTTATCTAACTTTAGAACATAGGCACGTTAAATGTGCATGAGCTATTTTGAATGCTTCAGTGTATAACTCTAATGCTTCGGTGTAACCTTACCAAGAGTGATGAATCTACCTCTTTCATCCTAAATGTAGGTTGGGTTTTTGTGCGAAATTGCATATTGTGGTACATAAATGAAAACGCGAAACGCTCAGATGAGTTGATCCTCAAGCTATATATTCACTTTCCTCTGTCTTTCCCTGTTACATCTGGTGCAGGTTAAACAAATCATTAAAGTGAAATAAATTTCTACTCACCAAACGTTGATTAGAAGGAAAACTCTAAGGTTTCCTTGGAGTTTCTTAAGCCAAAATGTGACTCATCGAATACTGAATAGTTACGAAATACCAGTATTTTTATCATTGTGGTAGATGGTTGCATCATCGTAATTCACGAGGTTTTCACGTGCGGTTATACTCAGTGAAACAGTCTTTAACTCCGACAACTTATTTCTTCATGTTTTAAAAGCTATTGCTTCTCAAAAGACAAGAGCCTTTTTTAAGGCATTGGTTACAAAACGAAACAGGTCTTCATACGTCCAAGTTACCATTTATCATTGTGAAAAGCCAATCTGCATGAGATGTACAGTCACACAGCTGGCACGTGAAAGTGTTGGACTTTGCCCCCTTTCGTTGTTCATACATGAGGGAATTTGAGTTATCACACAGTAAACTAGTACACAGAATTATAAAAATAACTCACGCACCCAATTTGCACGTGAAGATGTTGGTCTTTCACCCTTTTACAATTTGTACGTAAAAAAAAGGCAAATTGTTTACTACAAAATTTTCTCAAACGATTTTAAGAAATCACCTCGGCTTCATTATAACATCTGCAATTAAATTATGTTTCATGCAACGTCAAGGTTGATAACCTAACATTTATTAACATTTGTGAAACAGTCTTTAAGTCCGACAACTTATTTTGTTATGTTTTAAAAGCCATTGCTTCTTAAAAGACAAGAGCCTTTTTTAAGCCATTGGTTACTAAACGGAACAGGTCTTCATACGTCCAAGTTACTATTATTATTGTGAAAAGCCAATCTACTTGAGATGTACAGTCACACAGCTGGCACGTGAAAGTATTGGACTTTGCCCCCTTTCGTGGTTCGTACGTTAGGGAATTCGAGTTATCACACAGTAATCTAGTAAACAGAATTATAAAAATAACTCATGCACACAATTTACATGTGAAGATGTTGGTCTTTGGCCCTTTCACAATTCGTACGTAAAAAAGAGGCAAATTGTTTTACTGCAAAATTTTCTCAAACGATTTCAGCAAATCACCTCGGCTTTATTACAACATCTGCAATTAAATTATGTTTCATGCAATGTCAAGGTTGATAGCCTAAAATTTATTAACTCCAAGAAAATTATCAAACTGCCGAAATATATTTCTACTTATATCATGTAACTCCACTCAATATAACAGTATCTAATTATTGTGTCAACTAGCTTCTTCCAATTTTATTCCCTAATGCTACTGTTTCTACTTAAGTTACGCATCTTCACTAAATAGAACGAAAAAGGTCGGTTGAACTTTGTAAGCGAGAGAATAATATTTTTAAAGCTTGTTTACAGGATTAACAATACTCGATACAGCTTTCAAAAAAATAAGCTGCCTTTTAAACTTCTAAAACCACATTTTATAGGGCACATACTTTCGAATTAAAGTCTATATCTAAATATCAATTATTGCTTCATTTGAAGAGATTTGAAAATATATGATCTTTTATACTCTACCCAGTTGTAGCAGGTGAAACAGAACTCATACTAACGTGCTTTGTACCGATAGCCGAATTAGGTCAGAAATGCCTCGAAGCAGCATCCACACTTAAATATGAACCCTTAAACAGCTGCATCACTGTTCACAGCATTTGAATCGTGAAGATATTTTATGTAATGCTTCCAAACACCTGTACCCGTAATAAAAGACGAAAAAATTGTGAAGGATCAAGATGGCGGCCTCAAAGTGCCCTTGTTCGACCTTTACCAATGTCATGTTTAAATAGATGCCAAGATCTCATTGGTTCCTAAGCATCAACTCATAGTACCTTCAACCTTATTGGCTCTTGCAACAAACATCCCAACATACAAAGCCACAAAGTTACAAAGCCACAAAGATACATACGCTCACACCACTGACATATGAGCTATTTTTTCAAAACAGCTCAAAAAAAGAAAGCAACAATTTTTGTGTTGTGTTCACCTGCATGTACTCCATAAAGTGGGCTCATGAAATTAGGAAGTTTCATCTCGTAGTGGTGCAATAACGGCAAAGAAATGTACAAAATAGCGTGATGCACATGCAAAATTGTGGTTTGTTTATATAAATACATTATTTTTTGCCATTCTCTTTGCTGTCGCTGTTGTCGTTGGTTATGTTGTCATCCAGAAATAGTGCTACTATGGCAACATGACGTCACACTTCTCCTCTCTATTGGAGACTGCATACACACTGAAAAACTTTGAAATGCCATAAAGTAGAAGAAATAAAGCTTATACAAAATACCTTACTTAATAACCTTCTTCGATAAAAATGAAGACGCCGTCATTTGTCTACCTAAGGTGCAGCGCCACAAACTTCTTGCAAACAATATTTCTATCGATGGTGACTGCATTTACATGCATGGTGATGACAGCCAAATCTGCGAGTCATTCAGTGGTCATTGTGTTGCAGAGCCAAGTGTGGATCTCCAAGCTCCCCATAGGCAGAATGCCGAAAATCTTTAAGTTTTTATTAAAGTTTCACATTGTAGTGGTGCAACAACAGCAAAGAAATGTACAAAATAGCATTATGCACGTGCAAAATAATATTGTGGTTTGTTAAAATAAATATATTATTTTTTTCCATTCTCTTTGCTGTTGCTGTCGTCGTTGGTTTTGTTGTCATCCAGAAATAGTGCTACTATGGTAACATGATGTCACACTTCTCCTCTCTATTGGAGACAGCATACAGACTGCAAAACTTTGAAACACCACAAAGCAGAAGAAATAAAGCTAATAGAAATACCTTAATAACCTCTTCAACAAAAAATGAAGACGCCGTCATTTGGCTAGGGTGAAGCATCACAAATTTTTTGCACACAATATTTCTATTGATGGTAACTGCGTTTGCATGCATGGTGATGACAGCCAAATCTGAGAGTCATTCGGTGGTCATTGTGTTGCAGAGCCAAGTATGGACAGGGCTGTGCTCTAGCAGAGCCTGGTGGCCCCTGGTGCCTAACTTTTGCCCTCGGGCGACTAGAAAATCTCAAATTTTTCATACAAATCATATGCTGGACACCCTAGATTTTACAGTTTCAGAGCACTGGGCTCCCTTCAATTTTCCTTAGAGCACAGCCTTGATGGATCTCCAAGCTCCCCATAGGCAAAAAGGCTAAACGTTTTAGAAGTTCCCTCACGTTTGGGAAGATGTTGTCTGCATATTTCGCTAATAGTGAGGAGACCAAGATGGATTCATAATCTGACTCTGCCTGTCACTTCTAGTGGTTCGTAAGTATCAAAACAGGTCACTTTCGAAAGATGACTTTATTGGTATCAGATGGCCCCAGTTCTCACACAGTGCTTGAGCAAGTTCTTCTGTAGCCTCTCCAGACTTGAATTGCAACTGGTTACTTGACAAATAAGTCAAGAGCACAGAGCTCATATTCCTCCCTCTTTTCTTTGTTGAAGCGAATTTTAAGTTCTGAGCAGATCGTGTCAAGGAATAGCCTGCGTAGCATGACGGTAGGGGCAGTGAAACTGTGAGGAGATTACGGCAGAAGCAACAAGAAACCCCCTCGCTCAGACTGGCAGGCTTTTTAAGGAGTCTGTATGCTGGCGTACGAATAGTGCCTATTGGATCAAAATATACACCCCTCAATCAAATACTTGGTAATCTTCCATAGGAGAGTTCCAAGTGCCATCATTCAGCATCATTCCGGAAAACAGGGCAATTATTGTGCCACCTACAACCTTCTTCATGGGAGAGATGTTATGGCAATTTTGTCAACAGGTTTTGGCAAGAGCATGATCATTACTGTTTTTGCTCTGGCCAAAGAAGAAATGTCCTCATTGAAAACATGAGTGATTTTAATTTTGCCTCTAAATAGTATTATGGACGACCCTATTTCCAAAATGTTGCCGCTGAGCTGTAAGGCAATGGAGCTTATTTATGACAGAAATTGAAAATTCTCTTCGGTTGCGTAGCATTAGAAGGGAATTGATTTCTGTTTGCCATTATTATAGGTGTTGATTAATTGTGAGATTTTTTGTATGTTTTGTAGTGGCCTACTACGGCACAACAAACCAGAAATGTTGTTAGTTGTTATTTGTGTACTGTTGGGAAGCCTGTTGTTAAGAACAGAACAGTAAATTTACTTCGAGAAAGTCAACCTCAATTTTCTCTATCGCTCTGTGTTAGAAAAGACGTTCCTTGCAGCTTTAAAAGAGAATTACGCACTACATCGAACAGTGTCAGCAATTGTGGTCAATGAATCGCACACAGTAGAAGAAAGACTTACAGCATAATTCTCCATATACTTAGTGTAGCTTTAGTTTAAGCTACAACTCAAATCTGAAGGTTGCACACAACACTCAAAAGCTAGGCCCATCGTCAAAACATAGCTGGAAATTATCACATTCACGGACTACATGTACATGTATGAAGAAGAAACTACATGTATCTACTCAAGGATCCTTGGTATAACGTTATTCAAATCGAGGCATTTCAGTCAGAGAAAACCAAAGAAACTAAAATCTTTATTTAGCCGAACAATTTAAAGCTTTAAGTGTGGTCAAAGAAATGAATACTTCACAACTGCATCAGTTTATTTATTCTGAGATCAACAAATCCTATCAGAAACACCTACAGAAGCATCCACTATTAGTGCCGATGGCGCTAGAACTACCAGACACAATACATGTAATAAAGGACTATGTATGTACAAGCTTCATCACCACTTTATTTCTGACTGGCTGGAGAAACTGAAACCAAACAAGTTGTCAACAGGATGTCAAAATGAGTTGAAGGGGGCAGCAGTTGAAAAGACCACCTATCCGGGCAGGCAGTTTTTATTTTTGCCACTCATTCGATCTCGCACCCTTTTTTATGGCTTCACCGCTCAGTAGTATGCCTGACAGAACCGCCATACTATGCAGGCTAGTCAAGGAAAGGTATTGCCACAGTTCGTTTGCAGTACTGTGCAGCTGACTCTGCTGGGTAGTTTTCTCAATTTCTTTTTCTACTGCAAACATGTGGACGTTCTTCAGCCCCTCCTACCACTTCTGATAGACTAACTGCTTTCATGGTAAATTGAAACCAGGAGCCAATTGCATCACGTATCTCTGTATAGGACTTGATAAGTCTTTCAATTTTCTTAAAACCCAAGGGTACCTCTACAAGCCTTCCTTGCATAGTGGTGATCAGTGGTCCCATCAGCTCCAGCATCTCTTGGCTAACTACTGTTTCCGCTTTCAGGCTAAGATTCAGTTGTTTGGTCTCTTTTCCTAGGTTTTACATTGTGAGGCTGGTTGGCTTCACTAGGTTTTTGGGACCCAGATATTTCCTTTTGTTTTTCCATGTATCATATAGATCCCCCCTGGTAAGGGGCAAATGAGGTCACCAACTTTCCAAAGTAGAAATAGCTTGATATGGAGATTGGTAGAGCATACTCCATAATATTTTATTATCACTAGTTTAATTTTAAATTTACTGGATTATGACCAAAATTAATGTCTAGTTGATACTGAAATGCTGTACATGGGAGACACCCGTTGTCTTATGCTAATTTTCTCACCTCCAACTCCTTCAGTGTGTCCCTTAGCTTTTCTGGTCGGCGGTTCTTTAGTATCCATGACACTCCTCTGTCCTCTCCCCACTGTTTTCTTTGTTCACAATAGGCTTCATCTCCAGTGGAGCCTGTCAATCAAACAATTTACTGCTTTCAAATTTTGACTAACGCCTGTATTTAATTCTAATCTAACAACGAATCTTCACAAGCAGTGAACGTTAGTGTCCTTCCTCTCACATTAAATTATTTAATAATTATGCCAATGAAATGACATGACAAATGTGTCAAGGTCTGGTGTAGCTCTTGACGATTGCCTATTACATCACCGATATCCTGGTTGTGTTCATCTTGAATTCTACCAAATTTCAGTGAATGGTTATTAACTGCCCATCCCCTGTCATTGGTCATAAATGTGACACAGTACGTGCTGTCACAGTGCTCACTATTTTAAGAGTAATAAATATATTAATAATTAACTGACTGCTATGAGTGACGATTCAAAGTGTACCAAAACTACCTATATAAACCTTACAATTCAAAGAAAGTACAGCTATATTACCTGACCCAGAAGCCTTGTCATGGTAAACATGTGTTCCTATATCAGAGCCTATGGGAGATGTCCAGAATCCAGAACATGACTGTACATAAGTTGACTTCACACATTTAGTTTAAAACCTTTACCAATATGTGCCGCCCTTGAAAAAAGACAAATGCAGTATTAATTTGAGGATCATTAGGAAAAACTTGGTACAGCTTGGTTATCTACAGCGTACAGAAAATTATGACTCTCTCATTAATTTTATTTCAAACTGATTTATCATAATATTGTAGACCTTGATTTAAGAAATGTGGTGTAAATACTGTACTTTTTGTCCTTTTTGTCTGAATATGATGAAAAGAAAAAATCTGGCCACAGTAGCTGCCGATGACCAAAACGGTCCTGGCTTTTGGGAGTTCCCTAGAGAAAGCGGCTCTGACTCGATGAAAATTGCTTATTGAGGTCTTTGCTACATCAGTATTAAAAAACCCAACAACCCAACATGTATCAGTTTTCCCGCAGAGGATAAAGAGGGTTTATCCTCTCTTAATGCAAAATAAAAATCAGTTTTGAGAGACTCACAAAGGAAATTAAGTTTGAAATAAAGTGTTGACAGGCTAAGTGTGAGTCATAAAGCTCGTGAGTGTGAAATGTAACTGCCTTACAGTATCCTTCAAAACAAATGGTTTTCCATTTTTTCTTTTTAGCACGTAAGTGTAGGTTATGCAGTGTATGGAGTATTTTAATTTTTTACAAAGCAAATCTTAATTTGGCTGCTCTAATGAGTCTCATAAGTCATGAGGCATTGTTTTGTGGTTTCTGGTGTGGTTTACACAGGATTAATTTCATCTAAGAAGCAGTTGTTAAGCACTAAATTTCTTTGACCTCTTTTCTTTAGCTTTTTCTTGCTGCTACAATGTAAATATAGAGATTTTAGTTTCTTTGGTTTCTCCAAAGTGCATGTATCTGAATGTGATTTCCTGCTACATGTATGTTATCATGCTAAATGTAGTATACCTGCCCAGTTGTCATGCCTAAAGTGTGATTGACGTGCCTGTGGATAAAAAACTTTGATCTCATGCCTACTCATGCTTGTGTTCCAATTTCTCATGCCTGGTAAAAAAGTTTGATCAAAAGTTTGTTTACTACAATCACTTCCATGTGTCTGCGGTCACGTCTGTGTTGTCTGCTTAATTCTGGCCTGCACTGCACTATATTTGTGTGGGGACGAGAAGTGAAGTTAGTCCAGTTTTCTTAAATTATATATAATTTATTATATATATATATATATATATATTAATTCAGTTAGATGTTCAACAGCAAAGCCAAGATAGTGCTCCACTTGCAGTGAAGGAGCGGAATAGACCAGTAATGAGTAGGTGAACCACTCAAATCCTGAGTGCATGGGTGTACAAGCTCGTTTCGTAGGCCACCAAAAAGTGACCCACTCATCATTTAAACTCCACTATAATACTGAAGCGTTAGGGTCCACATCAACAATATGACTGTGTGATGAAAATGGTTACTTATAACGTTTGAAATTTCTATATTATATTATACATGTCTTCATAGCAACGTTATTCATTCAAACATATATCAATATGGCAAATACTTAGAAGTTATCGTGAAAAATTCACTGCTGAACTGAGTGCAGGAACATAGATTATTATTTTCTCTTTGATACTACCTGCAGCAGCGACATACTAAGCTGGGCTGACTGACTTAAGCCCATATAGAGAAGTGCTGGGTGACAACAAGCGGATCCAGTTTAATAAACAACAACAACAACAGAAACTTTTATTCACACATATTTTGAACCTAAATATGGTTGCCCTGCAAATTAGCAAAGGAACGTTATTCGATGCAGGGAAAAGTAATCATATTAAAAAATAATGAAAATTTGTCAACATAACAATACAGAAGCTGATGTGTAGAGTTACATTATTATCATTACTATTGGTGGCAGACAAGGAAATAAATGAAATATGTAAGATATTATAACATTTTCATTTGCTTAATATCACAAAGTATTAATTTTGGGGAACATCACTGAAGTCAGCTGTTTTCAATTCTGAAGAAACTCCAGGAGAATTTGTTTTATTTTCGATTTAAATTAAGATTTCCTCAACGACTTAAGAGATTTGGGTAGACCATTCCATATCAGAGCACCAGTTCTCGCAAATGATTTTTCCATTTTTCCTGTCCGAGAGTACTCAACATAATAATTGTTGGTTTGATGCAGAACTGGTTCTATAGCTAGTATGTACATCAGTCATAAGCCTGAATTTGCCTCTTAGATTACTTGGAACAGCTTGGTGATAAACATCACACATCAACAACGAGAGGCGTTGAAAATACAAAAAAGGTTAATGGTAGAGACCTTGTTTGCTGCAAGAAGGGAATGGGCCGGTCAAACTCTTGTCTTGCCGTCCGTTTTGACCGGCCATTTTTGGATGCGAACATTTTATAATATTTTCCATATAGTTGTCACTTAATGCATTTTGCTCTATAACACTGCAATAATTTCTTTTTTCTTTGGCTTTTTTTGCTGCTTTGCACTAAACCCTTAAAGAAAAAGAATGCCACAATAAATTTCATGTCGTAATGAAACACAACCTGAAGTGAAACAACAACAAACTAAGTTGTCGCAACGATGCAGCCGCTCCAGGGTGCAAAGAAAATCATTTTTACAGCTTGCCATTCAGGCAAGCTGAAGCTAACATTTACTAGCCCAGACGTCATTTCAGCTAGCCCCAAAAGCTTTTTGAAGAGCAGAATTGATTTCACAGTTCTTCTGTTATTCGATTTCCTCAAAAAAAGATCACTTGCTCGTCGGGCAAGTTAATAACAGAATTTACTAGCCCGATAGCCAATTCCACTAGCCCCTGGCTATCGGACACTACTTTCTTTGCACGCTGAACTCGTTACTGTATGTTCTGCTTTGCTGTGATGAGTAATGTGACCTTCTTTGGGAAAACATACACTAATGATAATCCATTATTTGTTCGAAAACTAAAGGATAGCTAACAATTTTTGTCCATCCTTCAAACGTTTCACATCTACTTGTAAGAGGATTGTGAAAATCACCTTCCACAGAATCCAGACTAATTGATCGATCGCTCGTCCCGTACTGTTTCTCCGGGAATAAATTTCAGTGCATTGATTAATTACTGTATAAAACTTTCTTTATGTCGAACATGAATCTCGTTTGTGGACTCGATTCCAGAATTGTCTGATAAAAACTAAGCTAATCGAGAACGAACGTTGCCTATCTCGGCGCTTAAAATCCTCCTTCTTGTAAAGAGATTTATCCAAATTTCTGTTGACGTTAATAAGCCCTTCGCAATAAAGTGTTGTGTGATGACCCAAACAGAAGCTCTGCTGTATATTTATTGACTCCTGATTACAAATACGCTGTTTGTGGAACAAATTCTCCCCAAATCAACTTCTTTGCCAGAATATTTAGCAACGTTTTCTCCTTGTGGAGGAGACTTTCGAAAACGAAAGGATCAACTTTCACGGATATGCAGATATAGGATGAACCTTGGGCAGACACCGCTGTACGATGAAACTCAAGGTATATATAAACAGGCATGAAAATGGGCGAAAAATGCGGAAAGGAGGACACAACATGTGAATGAATTTTTCACCAACTTGCCGCCAAAAACCTGAATGTCAATGCAGTACAACGATCTATTGCCAGCATAATTCAATATTCCATAGGCAAAAAAAATTATTATTTGTTTATTTGACCAGCCAAAATTGCGGTTTGTCCGGGCTAAAAAATATGTGGCCGGTCATCATGACCGGTGACCTGCTGTCCGTTATTTTGAACATTGTAAGTGAAATTAGGGACTGAAAATACTCAATAGAGTTTGACGAGGAACAAAACATCTTAACTTGCTATAAGACCAATGCATTTAATGATTTTTCTGGATACTGTATGTGCTCAATATGGTGTTTCCAGGAAAGATCAGCATCAATATAAACTCCTAGGTATTTAACATATTCTTTCATCTTGAAAGGTTTGTGTGAATTCATTTCATAATCAAGAACACCATTAGGAGGAATAAATGGTAAAGATTTTTGAGGAGGTTGAAAAATAACAGAGTTTGGTTTCTTAATTTCAAGTGATAGTTTATTAGCCTTCAGCCAGTCACAAAGATTTCCCTGTCACAAAATATTATCCCTACAGATGCTGGGTAAATTGCACTGATTTCTTTCCTGAATCGCACAACTTGTTCCTTCACTAAGCGCCTTACAAACTTACATAAAATGAAGACTTAGAAAATGAAGACCTAGAAAATGAAGACCTACAAAGTGAAGACCTAAAAAACGAAGACCTCAAAAGCGAAGACCTCGAAAGTGAAGACCTCACTTATGATTCTGAACAAAAAAAAGCAAAACAACAGAAATCGAGAAGCCTGCTAGTCATCTGCAAACTTGGCACACTTTTTTAGCAGGTCAGGAAGATAAAAAAATGGGGGTTATGAGTGCTCATTTCTTTGATATGGTGCTAATAAATACATGCATTTTGTCCCTTTTGCCAATGGTTGCGCACCCCCAGTGCTGGACAAAGAGGCAATAAAGTATGATGTCATTTTATGGTAATTTACTTACAAGCCAGAAAAACACCTTTGAATACCCTCTTGATTAATTTTCTCTCCAAAATAAGAAAAGGGACATGGATGAGTAAAAAGTTGATTTTTTGAAATGAAATGAATTTATCTGGGTGAATACGGCCTGTGGGGGCTGATGCAGAGTTGATCCACAATAGGCTCCGTTGCATAAAACGTTCATGTGACCCTGTCAACCATAAAAAATTGTTGTGGTACAAAATAGTTGCCAGAAATGAAGACTGCTAATTTTGAAGCCTGTTTTTGAAGCCTCATTGAAATGAACAAATCGCATGATATTTACAATTTCATGAATGCTCTGTCTGTAGCCAGAAATCTAGACTTGCGACAAGTCAACCTCACAAGTTTATGAGCAGAAAAGTTACAAAACAAGCGAAGCAAGCTTTTCGGATCACAAAACGGCCAACCGAAATAGGTGGACTTGTCTTGCTTGCAGTGTCTTCATTTGCGTTTCGCATTAGCCTGCGTGGTAGTTGTTGCCGTTTCCTTTCAGCCAAATGAAGGTTAGAAAAAGTTAGATAGGCAAGGAGCCCACAGCGAACAGGCGCAAAGACGTTAAGGCTTGGAGGGAGATGTGAGGACCTTGCACGTTTCCCGCTTGGCTAAAAGGAAACGGAAATGACTGTTTTGCGTTAAAAATGGGAAGTGGTGTGACTTCGCAACTGATGCATCAGATTACATTTTTTGCGAGTTCTTGACTTGAAATAAGGAAAACGGCGGGGTTATACGGCCTTGTAAATGTTTTGAATACCTTTTCTGGATCGCACCCTGGCTCGAATGACTCGCTTGGCACGCAACCTGGCTCACATATGAGGGAAAGTCGATCTACGCGGTAGACATACGAATTCTTAGCCATCTATGATCTATATACGAGGTCTATCTATATATGATCCACGAGATCTACGCTTTCTGGATGTTCGTTTTCCAGACCCCACATACAGTGCATAACTTGACAGAATTTTCCACCTACCTGTACCGACGGCAAACTTTTTTAATGACCATAAATGTAAATGGCCAAGTAAGCTGGCCATTTGACTAACACAGGTCTACTTTCTGTCAAAATGAGTCCTGCAACTTCTTGAAAACGTACAATGCATCTGTCGGAATCCGTATCTGTCGGTTTGTCCACCATATTTGTTTCTGGCAATACTCGTAGAAAGCGGATTTCGAATTTGGTCATGCGCAGAAGAGTATGCAACTCATCTGTTTTTCGCGCGTGTGAAAGCAGCTAAAAGCATGGACGTTGTGGAAGCTTCTGAGGATGGAAACAACTCTCAGTTATCACTTCAGAAGTGTATTTCATACCTGAAATCTGCAAGGAGCGACAACGAACGATTTGCAGCACTTCTTTTGGTGACGCAACTCGTAAACTCAAACAGCTTGGACAGTGCAGGGCGACGGAGCCTCTTCCATGCGGTCGGCTTTAATTTCGTCAACAGGCTGTTGAACTCGAGTAAAGTACCGGAAGACTGCCCACAAGACGTTTATCGCTCGTTGGCTCTAACCATTCTAGCCTGTTTTGCAACTGATGCTGAATTTCTCGTGCATCCAGAAATGCTGGCGAAGATTCCTCAATTTCTGGCAGGCTTCTCGGACGAAGAAGAGAACGTAAACATTGTGAACGATTGTTATCAGATTCTCTCCGCTCTCACTGCAACGTCCGTAGGATGTAGTCATTTGGGGAGAAAAGATGTTTTTACAAATCTTAGCCGTATCGCAAGTTGTGGAGCAAACCAGGCTAAATCAAAGAAAGCGATTGAAATCATGGTTCGAGTTGTAAACAGTTCACCATTTAATCTGCAGGAAGACGAATCACCAGCGGAGAGTATCTTTGAAACTGTACGTGCCTTGAGCAAACGCTTTAAAGAGGCTCAAGACTGCTCGAAATTTGAATTGTGCAGTTCTTTGGTCCTTTTATTAGCCAGTATTAACAAAACAGTTTTCCAGAAATTCCAAGAAAAACAGTGGCTAAAAGACATTAATATAGGAGTTAATCAGATATTGCAGTCAAAAGTTTCTTCACAGCAAAGGGATCCTGCAGTTGTTTTGGTCTCATTGGTGACTGAACTTGTGGGAATGGACTGGATGATTGAACCAAATGGACAGAAATCACCAGGGCTTTTTATCTTAAGCGTGACTGTTGCAAGCATTGAGACAAGAATGATATTGGATGGGAAAACATGGGTGGAAGTGAGCCCCAAAGCAGATCTTTTGATCAGTTGTTATAACATCCTGGAGAAAGCAATCAACTTTGTTATTGTGAACACTGATATAACAAATGATGTGCAGTTGCCTGAGTTTGTGAGCAACAATCTGCCAAAAGTATATTCTCTTGCAACTGAAGCTATTCATTCCATCATCCAGTTCCTGGGAAATGTCATCTCCATGGAGGACAAAGAAATAACAGATATGAAGCTGCGTGAGCTGGTTTATGCCTCAGTCAGAGTATTGTGTGCATGGATGGCAGAGGAAACTGCTGCGCTGCAGGATAGCATCTGTAAGCTGCTACCATTCCTGCTGAAATTGGGGAAAGAAAGCCTGGATACCTTTTCAGGTATTTACCATAGCATAATAATGACAGTCATGTCACTATTTTGAGCCCTAAAACATGGAAAAAGGGATCCTTAAACAGAAACTGGAAAAACCCTGACATGAACGGCCTCTGTTTTCAGCTATCTCTTGGGAGTTTGTGACTCAAGGAGATGGCTGAAATTCAGGCTAGAATTAAACATGACTTTGCTTATTTACAGTGACGGTCAAAAGTAAGTTGACAGTCACTTGCGTCGCGATCCTTGAGACTTGATTCTTGAAACTTTCGAGGATGGAGTCTTGAGTCTCGATGATCAGGGATCAAGTTTTTTCAAATTTCGAGTTAAGAAAGACTATGAACTTGTCGTGTAGACTTACCTTTTATTCTAAAAAGGACCATCCTGTGCCTTGGGTGAGACTCGTTTGCTTTCATGTAAACGAAGCTTGCTATTTGAAGGCGAAAACGTTCACTTATGGTCTCCTGTTAAAAGTCCTTTGGAAACTTGCTTTTAAGAAGTGGAGGCATACATGTATGTAAGGTAAATGTAATAGTGGTGAAAATTGAGCCTCCGTTTGAAAGTACCATTTTAAATATGGTACTAATAAATTTTATTCGGCTATAAGCCGAGACCCTAAACTTTAAACTCGTAGAATCAGCATAACCAAGAACGAAAGGTAAATCCAAAACACCTGGCTATAAGCCGAGACCCATTCGTTACAAGACTTTTAACTACTGTAAAACTTAACAATTTCCAAAGAAATATGACCTTCTCTAGGAAAACGTACAATTGTTGTTTGGGTTCTTTGCTGCTATCAATCTTTCCTCATGTCTTCAGGGCTCAAAGTAACGGCCGGTCAACGGACAATGTCCGGCATGATCGTGGACTTGACCCGGTCAAACTCTCGTCTTGCCGTTCATTTTGACCGGTCATTTTTGGATGCGAACATTTATCATATTTTCCATATAGTTGTCCCTTAATGCGTTTTGCTCTATAACGCTGTAATGATTTCTTTTTTCTTTGGCTTTTTGTTGTAATGAAATGCAACAAAGCGAAACAGTAACAAACTGAGTTGTGGAGTAACACAACGATTCAGCAGGATGTACTGTACGTTCTGCTTTGCTGTGACCAGTAATGTGACCTTCTTTGGGAAAACATGCACTAACGATAATCTGTTATTTGTTAGAAAACTAAAAGATAGCTAACAGGTTTTATCCATCAAACGTTTCACATGTACTTGTAAGAGGATTGTGAAAGTCACCTTTGACGGAATTTGGGTAAATCGATCGCTCATCCTCAGGGTTGTCACTAAGATTTCATGTTGCCGGGTAAATACTACAAGTAGGAATCAAACGGCTAGGGATTTCTTTTGGTTCTATTTTTCTCCTATTTTCCAATAAAAGTAGCCCGGGGCCACTCTCTTAGTAGCCGGGGGAAATCCCCGGCCCCCGGCTCTTAACCCATTTGCCCCTGAACTGCCCGTAACCGCCCGTGTACGACAACCCCCGAATTCCCTGAACCGCCCGTAACCGCCCGTAAAAATGGCCGCTGGATTCAGTCCATTCCCCTCTGATTGATGGATAATAAACCAATCATTTGCCATCTTTTGCGCATTTTTTGACAGATGATGAGAAGCACCACAGGGTCGGGTTTTTCGAAGAGCACGAGCAAAAGAAATTCGCGAGAGTAATGGCCGCCCGTGTTGATTTCGAATCAAAGTTCGCATCACGTTTGAGAGAACATAGAGATAATTCGACTCTTGATCACTTCAGGTTGTTGAACAGACCTTGTGAAAAACCTTCTGATTGAGATTTAAACGATCTTAAGACTGAAAAAGACAATCCTAGCCCTCAAATTGCCGAGCGCTTCGTAGGTAAACAAACCGCATGGACTATCGATGAAAACTTACCTCGTTCATTTCATTTACTTGCATCCAAGTACCGTGTTCCTCGCAGCAAATGTTTTAAATGTAACTGTTTCTTGAACTGCTGAAGGTGATGCTTTTGTAGAGTTAAAAGTTTGAACAAGGAAACGGATTATGTGCGACGATCGATTTGGATTGACAATCCCCATGAATAAAATTTACTTCACATCGCGCGGAAGCTCACGGAGAATAAACGGTAACCGTCTTTTTATTCAATTATTTACAGTTGCCAAATGATGCTTTTTGTGTGCTTTTTTTCTTTGTGTATAACTATTAACACCTATCGATCTGTGCATTGGTAGATAAAGCATTAATAAAGCAAGTTTGGCATTTAACTTATTTGTGCTTTACTTTGTTGATCGGACATGATCGGGGAGGCACTTCAGGTCAGGATATCAAATACGCTTCCCTGAAAGATTGCGGCTTTGTCACCTTCTCTGGAGAAAGCGATCATTTATTTTATTGTTGACATTCAAGAATCGAAAAATATATGAAAGAGTGGGAAGCTGAAGTCCAGCATTCCCTTGTTTTATTAAACTTTCCCATGCTTGATGATGTGGAACTCTTCAGATCGCTCTTCGTGAAGTGATCATCACCGAAGTTTCACTACATTTTTCTACGGTGCTTCTCGACTGGACTGATCTGAAAGAGAACTTAATGAAACAACTTTCAGTAAAATGACTTTACAGTGTTGTTGATGTTTTATCGACTGTGTTTATTCCTTTAACAGCGTTTTTGTTCCCCGTTTCACCGTTGATTTATCAGTGCAATTATCGCGCGGCGAAGAAATTTTGTTGAAATTCATTGTTTTCGCCTCTTTCCACAGCTTTTTCTTTCTCAAATTGCTATTTTTTTTACATACCCTGGCTGCCCATTAACTCATCTAAAAGAAAAAGTTTGTTTGAAAGCCAGAGTTTATCTCTGGTTTTACTGCGCATATGGTTTATTTTAGCTATCGCGTACGCTTATTTACAACCGAAAATTGCCAGGGAATTGGGGGTTGTCGCACGTAAAAGTCCCAGGAGTGAATGGGTTAATGACATCCCTGCGTCCTGTACTGTTTCTCCGGGAATAAATTTCAGCGCCTCAATTAATTATCAAACTTTCTCCACGTTGCTCATGAATCTCGACTCGATTCCAGAATTGTCTGATAAAAACCAAGCTATTTGAGAACGAACGTCGCCTATCTCAGCGCTTAAAATCCTCCTTCTTGTAAACAGCTTTATTCAAATTTCTGTTGACGATGCTAATGAGCCTTTTGCGAGAAAGTGTTGCGTGACGACCCAAACGAAAGCTCTGCTGTATATTTATTGACTTCTGATGATAAGACTGAGGAAAACAGGGGCTACATTTGGTGTTAAGTTTCTTTCAAGAAGCTCTTTTTTTAGCTCGTCATCAGCACACTGTTTAGTTTTTGGCTTTGGTTGCGATTGATATTTGACACTGCACTTGATCATAAGTTTCGTTCGCCAAAACGTGAAAACCGCTTCCACTTTCCTTGATTTTTTGAATGAGCAAACCACCATGAGAAGACTGCAAATCACTAGGGATGAGTTTCACCAAAAAAAATTGTCAGCTCTTTTGATATGTGTGGTTATCATTTGCGCGTAGCGGCAACTTGTCAACGAGATCTCAACATCAGTAAAAATTCAACTTGGAGTACGATCATGAAATAATGTTAGCTTGATAAATTTGTTCTATATAGCTTTTTTAAACAATCACTTCTTGATTTATGAAAGAGAGTTGTCTTAAATTTTACAAATTACAGTGGCCAAACAAGTGCATTTGTTATCGTTTACGTGTAGCAGCAATTTTCGCCAACGAGATATCATCAACATCAGTAAAAATGCAACTCGCCGTTCGATCACGAAATATTGTTAGCTTAATAAATTTGTTCTATATAGCTTTTTTAAACAGTCACTACTTGATTTATGTCTGTTTGTCAAACTCCGAATTTTGTGACAACTGTTTTTCTGATTTCTGCCAGACTTGTTAGCCGGTTCATACATTCCTTGTGACTTTCTATTGTTTGAATGAAACGAGTTTGAAACTTTTATTAGTACTCAAATGATCATGTGTAAAAGTGCCCCTTCAGCAAAGAAAGTTTCCGGTGACATCAGCTAGATTTGCAGAAAAGCAAGTTTTATAAATTAATTAATTCTAAGCTGCATTTGCATGAACAAGTTTGAAACTTGAATAATGGCAAACTTATCAACTCAAACGCTTACGAAAATGTTACTTTATAGGACAAATAAAATTTTCCGTCAAATTATTGTGTGACTTTATGTAGATTTGCATATGCTAAAAGCGCGACAAGCCACGGAATCTCTGCCGAGATGTGTTTTTGAATGTTCTCGGCAAGTGAAAGGCTACATGTTACATGTACGAAATCATTTTAAGCTGCATTTACATGAAAGAGTTTAAAAGCAAATTTACCACGTTGACTCAGATACTCATGGAAATGCCACTTTTTAACAAAGATAGTTCATCTTATAAATCTTTATCAAGAGCCCAATTCAAAGAATTGCCGAGCCGCACCTTTCATCTGTGAAAATCTATGAGCATAGTGAGCAAAAGCTACATACAATGTACATGCAGGATAAATCTTTGAAAGGGAAAATATCGATTTACACTTACTGAAAGCTTGCTGAAGCTGGCAGTTCAAACAGTTACAGAACACCGCACCACAAGCACTGATCGGTGGTGTGAATTTTTGAACGTCTACATGACTGTACAACATTGTTCTTTTGGAAAAAAAGTAATTTCATGTATAAACCTTGCTTCTCAAACCTCAAAGCTGGAAACTTGAGACTCAATCGTCACGTCTCGAAACTCGAAGCGTTTGTGCTTTGAGATGCAAGGATTGAGTGTCAAGTTACTTTTGAGGTACTGTATTTTCATTTTCCAGAGTTTCAAAGTCTGTGAATGTTACACTTGGTGGTTTCTGATATTAGTTATTTAGCTTTATCTATGCCTTTCTATTTTTGTTATATGTTTTGTGTTAATTCTAAGATGGCTTGCAAAAGGGTCTTTTAACACAATTCAGGGCTATCACTAACTTCAAAGTCAAACCTGTACAGTTCCGCTGAAAAGTATGTTGACAGTCTCGACTGGAAACTGGATTCTTGAGTCCTTGTATTTCTCTATCAATTCTTTCTTGTGAACTATGAGATATTTTATTTTAAGTGCACATGAAATGTGTGAAGGTAAGTAAGCTTTTAAAATTGTGTTTGTGACAGCGTAAATGAATATGATCTTTAATTATGATAGCCGCCGTGAATTTTTTTCTCAAAAACTTCAACGTTTTTGCAAGCCGTTGAAGAATTACCAGAAAACATATAATATAATTAGCAAGGCATCTGTAAAGGTGAGAGAAAAGGCTGTAAGAAATATCTATATACCTGTACCTATTTATAGTGAGATGGGAAATGCCAACATGGAAGTAAAATTTGCATATGTTGTGTGTAATTTGAAACCTTTGGCTTAAACTTAACATGCAATTCGCAACATTTTAACACATACAGCGGCGACTGAACATTTCTAAAGGCAAAAGTCATGATTACTGAAGGTTTGTCCACGACTTTTTCATTCAAGGTCATTTTTAGAGGAAACTTGCATGAACTGCATTGCAGCCGAAGAATTACAAGACATTTGTGCTTGTTTGTGTACTTTTTATGGCGATAATTTTTAGCCAGGGGCTGACAAATAAAAGTTTACATTTTCGTTTTAAAAGCGCTGAATGAGCAGGGAATTCTGGCTGCTGTTTTTTTGCCCATTAAAAAGGCAAACATGTTTCAAACGTGCAAACTTTGTTTCATCATGTAAGAAAGAGAGGCTTGCAAAAGCTGTTTGTCACAGTCCGCAGCATGTACTTTGTGATACTTTAAACCAGAGTGAGTCTATTTGATGAATTTCTACCTCAAGAGATCAGTCAAGCAACAAGCTCATTATATTTCTCAAATCAGCTCTCGACTCTCGAAGCCTTGTGACCTTGGGTCAAAACCTCAAGTCTTGCGACATTTGATTCTCGAAAGTTGCGAGATTTGAGAATCGAGTCGCGAGAATTGGAATGCGAGGTACTGTCAACTTACTTTTGAGCAGTACTGTATTACTTGCTGACACAATGCACTGGTCTTGATGTTCACACGAAATGCATCAAAAATAAAAACATTTTACAGTTCCGTTCACAAGTTAGACCTAATACAAAAATACACAGACTAGGTTTTTCTGCAAAGCAAGATAAACAACCTTTCCTTTTGCTTTTTTGTTGTCTAAAAGCTTTTGCTCATTACAGAGGTATGTGCATGTGGGTGCTGACGGGTGATATAAATGGTTATTGTTCGTTTCTTGGAGAATTGAATTGTTTTCTTTAAGTCTTTTTCAGCAGTGAATTTTTGAGAATCCTGGCTTGTCGAAATTCAAATTTTTCTTTTTTGCTTTTTTTAACAATACTTTTTTTACCTATTGGCTTGTTTCCCTTTATGGATACTGCTACTCTTTTATAGCTTTGCAAGATGTTGCAATAAACATATTCCTAGTTAAGTTGGGAGTATTGAGTTTATGACTGTCAACTCACTTTTGAGTTGTACTGTATGCAGTGCAATTTTCCACTATTATTTTAAAAATTTGCATCTGCACTGTGCTTATAACCTTACTTCCGTAATCTGCTTGCTTATGCCATAAACTGCCCATATACCCTAGGAGATATGCTATTTGAATGAAATTTACTTAACCTCATCGCTATCTGATTGGTTACTTAATATTTTGAGGCTATCAGCTATGTTGAAGTATGTTTACATCCCAATTGTGTTTTACCATTGGCTTGTTAAAGCCTGCCAGACCCCACGTATACTACTATGATGGGTGGTCTAGATTTATATTAATGCAAGTATCAACATCCAGTATTGTATCTGAAGCACTTACTGAAAGTAAATTACAAAAAATAATTTAATAAAAATAAAAATAAATAACTCATATTAAAAAAATGCAATAAAAGACTTTATAATAATCTCTGCAGTAAAAGAAATCTATTGAACTGAAACCTGTTCAAATAAATTAAACTCATTCAAGCACTAGTAGTGTTCCTTGAAGAACTAAATTGATTGTTGAGTAAATGCGGTTGTATTGACTTTCATTCTTTAGAAATTGTCGTTGATGCCAAATCCAATACATCAGAAGACCAACACGCAAGTACTTCTAGCTCCGTAAGTACTGTAAATGTAAGGGATGTAATAGGTAACAGGCTTAATAAAGTTGATATTATGAGGTTTCTATTGCCACCGTTATGCCACCTTTCAGCTGATGACAAAACACGCAAGGTCTTGATTGAGAATGGTTTTCTTGAACTGCTATCAAAGTACTTTTTTCAACAGTGGAAGATTTGGAATGAGAAACAAGATAATGACACAAAGTTACATGATTCCAAAACGTGCCTTGTTACTTTGCTTGGCATTGTATTAAATATTGTTGTCACTGAACCGAAACTTGTAGTTTCCAACCATACGCTGAAACAACTTAGCCAACATGCCATACTCTCCACTCCGCTGCTGCTTTCCACAGAAGCAGATGTTGTGATTCTAGTTAATCAAGTTGTGCTTGGCCTCTTGTTCATAAGAAGCAGTGTGGAACATAATGATTCTTTCACATGTGATGGATTATGGAAGTTTTTACAGACTTCTATTCAGATCTTAAAAGAGGCAAAACCCTTGATGCAGAACAGAGGAGGTCAATTTGTTGAACAGAAAAAAACCCAGGTTGCTATCAGATGCAAAGAAGCATGGTCAGAAATCTCAGAATTGTGGTTTCTTGGTTTGCAAGTAATTTCAGTGCTAGTAAACTCGTTGCCTGTTGTCAAAGAGCTTTTGGAGGAAAGTGGGTGGATGGACATGATCATAAACATTCACAGCTATGATCAAGAACTGACTCTAGAGGAAAAAGATGCACTTCTTGATTTGGGTCAAAAAGTAAACAACTTTTAAATTTGGGAGGTATTTTCTTTTGCATAATGGACCTGCTGGTAATTCAAACTCTCAATGAAAAAAAAAACAACCAGTTAGTTGAGTTAGCAGGACTTCGAGTGACCAGAGACAGTTCAATATTCAATTTGCTGTATTGAAAATTTAGTATTCAGTGCAGTGCAAATAGAACTTACCTAACCAGAATTTGTAACTTGATTATGCGTCTGTATGATAGTAGGGTAAAATAACTGTAAAATACATGATATGTTCGTTGCTCTAATTAAAATCAAATTGTGTTAGTGTTAGTTTTGGAGTTTTTATATATCACATGACAAGAAGAACTAATGGGATGGCAGCTGTAGTGAAATGCAAGAACCAGAATTTGAGTTTTTCTGGTAAATTTGGTGAAGGGAAACAATATTTAGTTTAAGTTAGCAGGGATTTTGAGTTATCCAAGTAAAATGACTGAATGGTGGGTTCAAGTCCAAGGGAAATGCAGGGACCGCGGAGACCATTTTAGAGTGGTAGGGCTAAAAAATCTTGCCAATACAAAGAAACATTAAGTTCAGTGTTTCGCCATTTATCTTACATTTGCGTAGACTACGAGCAGTCTCTCTTTTCTCTTGGTCCGTCAAGCAAAACGCCCGAGACACGCTCACAGGCGCGTGCACTCCCCTTACCGCCTTGAAATCTGAAGAAAAAGAGAGGCTGCTCGCAGTCTAGCATTTGCGCGCCATCTTATTTACAGCCTCAACAAATATAACATAAACGTTGTCACGTGTTATAGTATCCAGTATAGCCAATATGTTGAATAAACCTTCCTAAAATTGCTACTTTGAAGTTGTTAGCAGTGCTTAAATTTCTCTTGCGGTCCTTATTGCTGGAAACAAACTCCTGTGCGACGTCAGCTATAGAGACACTGTCTGTTGTCGGCTAAACCTCTCATCACCCATCCTGGATCGACGCCACGTCTTCAGACGCCGTACGTACGGATGAGAATGAACCCTCGCCAGCAGCCCTGGTAATAGGATTTACAGCAAGCAGCTTACAGATAGTTTAACTGCTTCCTGAATTAGCCTCTTTTCTGCTTCTGGAAACTTTAATACCACCAACAGGATTTCGTCAAAACATGATATCTTCTCCTTCTTCCATAGTACTTAGTTGCCTAGGTAGCGCTCCTGTATCGCAACATCTTCCCTATATTATGCTTCAAGAAACTGAACTCTGCCTAATAGTCGTCACCATTAGCTATAGCAGCTTTAAGCAAGAGGGTCTCCATCTGGGCTTAAGAGCTGAAGCTTTCCTGATTAATGAGCTGATAGATAGCCCTGACGATAAGATCAATAGCCTCATAATAGGCTGTATAAATTGATCTTTAGCAGTTTAGGGATACCTTGGTGCACCAGCACCAACCTTCAGTCTGGCTGAAGTGTCTTTTTCTATGATGGTTCGCCAAGCAGGAGTTCACTCTTGCGGGCAACATTAGCATAGAAATGGTCAAAGCTTTGATCAATGCGAATTTTTGTGAGCGTCCCCTTTGTTAGATTTGCCAGGCGTTGTCCACTGACAGCAGCCATCTTAGTACCCTGAAGATCCTTAGGTAGATTATCGGTGTCGCAATAAAGGTGCTCTCCAAGATGCAAAGCAGAGGAAAAGTCAAATCACTCCATTTGGGCCTTACATCTTATTATCCTTGCACGCACATCGGGTTATAATCGTTCTGACAAGCAAACATCCCACTCTTCCATAGGGCAAAGTCCAATAATTCCACGGAAATTTTTTCCATGTCAACTGAGTCCTATAAAATAAATCCCAGCAATAAAAGTGGTAGGGCTATAGCCCTATCAGCCCCTCCCCCTCCGCGGTCCCCGAAATGACTTCAGTTCAAGTTAGCGGGAAAGTGTAAGTTATCTGGGTTTGAGTTAGGGTTCAAAAGTATGGTTGAGTCTAGGTTCCATACCTGTGTAAAGTGGGAGCCTGTTTGAAATAGAAATCACCTCCATCATTTCTGAGCAGTGTTGGTAAAACTGACATACTGACTTGAAATATATGAAAGAAAAAAAATGTTAATCATGTTGGATGCTTATTCCCTTCTTCGTTGTTGTTTTTTACTTATTCCCACATCTGTAGTTGATATTGTTAACAATAGCAGACGTGTGAGCATGAAGCCATTTCAGTTTAAGCACATTTTATTCTCTATCTCTAAATCCTAACTCAAATGAGATAAATGACAATCTACATGACTCGCATGAGGTGTCTATCAAAAAGCGATTACTTATCGATGCATCCTCTCTTGTTTGAGAATCGATCAAATGGGCAAGTCCAGAAAATATCCATACCCAACCACGGACGGCTTCCATGTTTTAACCCCCCCTTGCCTTTGGAAATTCCAAAATGCGTTACCCCCCCAACCCCTTCAGAATTTCCGGGTTTTTTTTTGGAAGTCATTTTCGACTTAGCAATGCCTATATGAACAAACGAACATGAATTTATGCCTCCTCAAGACTGCGATCTAGCGGTGCCAGATGACAAGCTTCACCCTTCAGGGACAAGAAAAACCTACCGCTAGTGGCCAGGCTGTGCAAACTCCTTTTTAAGTCTGAATTTGGCCATAAAAATAAACACCACTTACGGTAATTTTACTCCTCTTTGTTTTCTTGTGCTGTTTTGACGTTTACAAAGCAAAATAGTTCAAATTCAGACGACAGTCCAAATGCTTAATAATCTGGCAGGCGTTCCTTGGAAGGAAGGGACTGGTGCAAGTTTTTTACTGTTCATTGGACGGGAGTAACAAGCGGTAAGATATATTTTCAGTTTTTATTCATGTGACAAGAAATTCATCAAGGTAAATGTGAAACCCACGTTTTAATGTTCAGTTCTATAAGTTATGAGTGTAAACTGTGCCTGATCTATCGATGCTTGTCTTCTGCTTCCGCGGTCATACGTTCGTGGTTTATTTATGAACTACAAAAGTCCACAACAATAGCGTTTTCAAGGAACTCACTCTACACTTTCTACTTCAGAAATCCCACCTGTCGAATTTCCCCATGCCTTCGGATTTCCAATCGTAAATACCCCCCCATTCCCTGAGGATTCCATAATCGTGAACCCCCCCTCCCATTCCGAAATCGTAAAAGCCGTCCGTGGTATAGGTATGGATATTTTCTGGAATCGCCCAATGTCGACTAAGAAATGAGATGAAAACTAATAAAGAAAATAAAATCATAACATAACAAATGAGAATGGGCATGGAAGAGGCTGTCTTGGCCCAACGTCCGTCCCTTCTTTGAATGGTTATGGGCACATCTAGTGAAGGGGGGGGGGGGGTGGTTGTAGACTCGAGGTACACAGGGTGCTTGTCAAATCACCCCATAGCAACAAGTTGGCCATTACAGTGCCAAAGGTACTCCCCTCGATTCATCTCCTTGTGACTTGATTTTGTAATGACTACCTCCTCTGGAAAACCCTTATGATTTGGTCTTACTGTGCTGCATGCATGGGTTTTGTTCTCAATGGAGTTCACAGGGATGTGCTAGGTAGACGACATTTGAAAAAAAGCTCTTGAAGAAACAAGGGACTGTAAAAGTTATCCATGTAAAGGTGGTGCTTCTTATTATGTTCAGTTACAGTCAGGTGTCGCACCACCCTCTTTGCAAGGCTATTTTCCAGAGCCCCCTCTACCTTTCCTAAATAAACTTGAACTTGCAGTACACATTCCCTGTCTTAACCTCAAGGATTGCCCAGAGTTTTATTTCCTTATTGGCGCTCCAAGCTACGACCAAGAAAAATTCTGGCAACTAAACTTGTCACAAAAGTCGCCAACGTGTGTTCAGCAGTCATTTGCCTAGGTGTGCAAAGTTTCTTTATCAGCTAGTGTTAATGGTCTTTCCGATGTTAAATTGAAAGAAACATTAGTTACGTTCCGTATTCATGCTTTGTATTCCTCCGTTCACCCTGTTGTCCTGGTGTGAAGCCTTGAGATGCTGCAGGGTGTCTAAATTCAGTTGCAATGTAGGCATGAAAGTTGGGCAGCCATTGCGGGAACTGGGTCAGATGACAACAAAAATGGAATTATCTTGAAGTATTAAGGTGAGTATGTTTTGAAGCAAGCTGTTCATTACTGCACTCAGGGTTTTTGCTATGGCAATTTAGACGTCAAGCAATTTAAAAACAATGACAATCAAGGGCTATATTCAATCATGTGGTTAAACATTCGTTTGAGAAATGAGTATTACGCAAAATGGATTTCCCACGAGAAAAAGTATTTATTGCACATGCTTTGTTGAAAAACAAAGTTGGGAAAATGCGTCTGTTCTTACAGACATCGTCCCGGCTTTGTGAATTAAAATATATATATATATAACAGTTTCAAGCTTTCATCCCAAGTGTACATAACTTGAATATTAAAGCAACGCTGGAAACTGCATAATTGTTGATTTGAGTTTTTTTTTTCTAGCAGCCACTGAGGTCAGGAAGAAATTTCGTGCCAGACAGGGTACTGCTCTAAATGAGTTTACATGTGTCTAACATTAATTAGCGCTACACAAAAGAAAAAGTACAGCCTTTCTCTTATTTAACCATTGAATGGAGTTAACAATGGTGTGCCAGGCAGACGCTGTTTTGAGAAATTTAAAGGCTCTATTTGCTGCTGGAGATCCATTTGCTGCAAAAAAAGTCACTGACGCTTGACAAAAATATGAAGAAATTCTATGGAAGGAAACTGTTTCAGAAATCAACTTCAGCAGCTTAACTAGCTTACCTGAGGATCAACTTGGAACACCCAATTCACAAAACATGAAAAAATGAAGTACCAGTGATCAATGTGGTCAGCAGGATAACAATTCATGTAAAATTACACTTGATGTGTTTTTTTTTTCTTATGGTGACCAATATTTTGTCTGGCTTCCATTGTAAAATTTTAGGTCACCAAAAGGCGACTCAACAACACAACACATGAAATGCATTTATTGCATGTGCGTCCAGGTCTGGCTTGTAGGCAACATAGGGTTTCAGATGATAATTATAAAGCCTTGAGGCGAAAAGATCAATGCCTCGGATAACACCTAATTTGTCAGAGGCAGCTTTGAAGAGAGATGGTTGTAATGTCCACACAGTTTCCCTTCCAGACAGGCGTGACTCTTTACCTGCCTCAGTATTTTCTTTGCCTGGAATGTGTACTACCATGGGCCAAACATTATGAGATATGCCCCACTCCCAAATTTGTCTTGCAAGTTGATTGTTTTCCCCAGAGTGGCATGTGCCGATTTGGTTTATCATTGTCATGGCAGTGGTGTTATTTACCATAAGTTTAATATGCTTGCCAGAAATTGTACCTTCAAATGATTTCAGTGCAAGAAAGGCAGCAAGCATTTCTAGATAGTTAATATCATGTGCAACTTCTTCTGGAGTCCAATTCCCTCCAGTAGTGACTGTATCAAAACAGCAACCCCATCCTGTGAAAGATGCATTTGTTGTCATCATGATTTGGGGGTCCCCATGGTTGATAAGGTTAAATGCTAATGGTAATGCATCAACCTACCATTTGAAGTCTGTTTTGGACTCTTGAGATAAAGACATGGTTTTGTCAAAATTCCTGTTGCATGTTACCAGGGCCTATGTTTTTTCCATTTCAAGGACCCTGTTGTGCAGGGGTCCATACATAACCCCTGGGAAACTAGATGTCATTAGCCCTAATACCTGGGCAACCGTCCTAATACAGGGGGAGGTAGTAGCTAGCAAATTCTCACAGGCTTCTTTCAATTTTAGAGCTCGTTCTTGAGTCAATGACACCTGCATCAAAACAGGGTTGAGAACAAATCCCAAGAAAACTATAATTTGAGTTGGGACTAAGAGCGACTTTTCAGGATGAATAATGAATCCAACTTTGTCAAGTAGAGTGACAGGATCTATAACATTGTGTATTTATAGGTGGAAACTGTCAGCGGTTAACCAAGAATCGTCTACGTAGGGCACTGAAATGTGACCTTGTCTCAAAAAGGAGAAAACCGGTTTAAGCAGTTTTGTAAATTTTCGTGGAAACATGCGAATTGATACAATGTCCCTTTCCATTCAGATTTCAAAAACTTCTGGTCAGTAGTGCTTATTGGGACTGAGTAATAGGCATCTTTTAGATCTATTGATGCCATGTAGCATCCAGGTTTCATCGTCCTGATGGCAGTCCAAATGTTGTCCATTTTAAAATGATGATTAGTGACATGGGTATTGAAAGACTTCAACTTCAAAATCATCTGAAAAGAACCATTCTTCTTAGGCCTAGTAAATACTGGGGAAATAAATTCCGCGGCCTTTTGATAGCATGGCTGGATAATCCCTTTTTGGAGGAGCTGAGCAATTTCCAAATCAATAGATACAGACTGAATGTCTGAAAGCTTTGGTTGCATCAACGGTTTCAACTGCTTCGGCCATGTATCAAATTCAATTTTTTGGCCAGTGACTGTCTCTAAAACTTCAGGATCAGAGGTCAAGTCTTGCCGTATGTGAGAATAAGCAGGTATACTACCCACTGTAAACATTTGTGCTTTGCAACAAAAATACTCTAAAAGTGATGGCAAGATGCCTTCAAACTCGCTTACCTGAATGTTGTTAACTTTTGCATAATGTCACAGGTTATTTCCTGTCGTTCGTTTGGTCGGTCGCCTGCTTTTTACAGCTGTTGTATTGAGCTGGTTTCCTGTAAGTCTGCGACTGGTTGCCCGGGGGCATTTTGCCTAAAAAAAGGCCTCCACTGCTTAGACGATTTTTGAGGTTTTGCATACTGTCGCTTGTTAGAGAACATTGAATTGTTGGCCGTGCTACTAATCTTATTTGATGCACAGATATGAATGAGTTGTGTTTGTAATTCATCACCAAACAGCATGGAGGTGATAGGCACATGTGATCCACAAAGTGTGGCGTGATCTTTGTTCAGGTTTGGTCATATTACATTGCACCTACGTTGCGCAATTTCAAAACTAACATGCCCGAGAAGGGCTATGGTGTCGGTATTCATTCTGATCATAGCTTCCATATCCAGTGGGGTGTTTTCAGAATGGGCCTTCAATAGCATATACGTCATTTTGCCGGTGATATTACCAACTTTAGTCAGTGTCGCCTGTTAGTTTGATAATTTTAAATCTTTGCCCCTTGCATGGCGGTCAAGCTGTCCCCATATTTCAGGGTTTTACTTTCGGTGTGATTAACTGATCACAATTCGCCGGACGGAGATATTTCCCACATTTGTCCTTGAGATTTGAATTGTCAAGCTTATTAAGCCATCTCAAGTTTATGATTTTTGCAATTTTATCCGAAACTTTGGGGTCAGTTTTCTCCGTTTCAGATAGGGACTGTACGTGCACTTTCGTTGAGTAAAGAGTCGTCTTCATCAGCGCCGTCCCTGCACGCGGTGTTGTCACTTTCATTGTTTGCAGTTTTCTGTTGCTTGCTAGTGTCGGCTAACAGGTCATCTGCATCCGACGATTGCCCTGGTTCAGAGCTATTTGTCGCTTGGGATTTTCGTTTGTTGGCAGATTCTGCCTTCTTGGGGGCCTGAGTTTCCCCTCTGGCGTTAGCAGCATGCAGCTGCTTGATCAATTCGTCCATTGAAGCCATGAAGTATGTTTGATCTGATTATCCAAGGATAGAATTTCATCAATATGAACCCCCAATAACTTAGTAGAAGGTCTATGTTCAATAGGTCTATTATCCAACTCTAGATTCATGAACTTGGCATTTGCCAAATTTTGCTGAGCCAATTGTTATATAACAAGTTTTAGAAGTATTGCAACTCAATTTGTTTGTCTTAAGCCAATTATGTACTTCAGTTAAGTCACTATTTAAAGAACATTCAATTGTGGATATATTTTCATGAGCTGTAGTTATATATGTATCATCGGCAAACATACCAGGTGTTGTATGCCGTAGACATTTGGGAAAATCATTTAATGAACAATAGTGGTCCAAGTATAGAGCGCTGAGGAATGCCACATGATGTGTATTGTTCTGTGGACAAGACTGCATTTACATAACATCTCTGTGTAACCAAGTGGTTTCAAGATTGGAAAACACTATATGTAAGTAGAACAAGTAAGTATATCCAAGCACTATTTGGCATGGGAAAAGTTAACCAAGTCCACTGTGACAAATTGCTGTACACATATTTCAAACCGAGGTGGACGTTGGACAAAAAGTAGTCACTTGGAAGGGTAGTATTAAGGAAAGTGTTTCTTGCTTTTAGTCATCTTCAGTATCACTCATGCTGTCCCATGCACTGTTATTGTCGGATTCCTGGTCAGGCATTCCGCAAGAAGAAGGCCTCCTTTGCTAGGGACACTTCCAGTAGTGAGCCTAATTTTTTCTGTAGTCAGTGAGGTGTAAGGGGAATCGCACTGGGTCCCTTGGTCCACCAAAACTGGTTTCTGGTTCGCTGCTAAAGTGGCATCTGTTTTGATTGAGATGGATGGCCTTTGCAATCTACGACTTTTTGCAGCCAGTTGGTAACTGCTGTGTGCAACAGGTGGGTCATTGGTTGATACCTGAAATGACATATTCTGCGTGCCATTTTTCAGGCCGTTTCTGAGTCATGTTTTGATTCGTGTAACAGCACTAGCGCCCCTTTGTGGCCATGCATTTGTAATTGTTGCTAAGAGTACAACTTCGGCAAGCTCAACAATAAGTTGATAGAAGAATCCACATAATTCAGATTCCATTTTCAGCAACTGCTGCAAAGCCCATTTTAAGATGATGATAGATGATTTATGTAACTTGCTCAATTCAACATACTATGATACAGATTAAATTTACGTGGACCATTAATACAATGTAAATAAGGCTTAAAAATAGTAACATCAAGTAGAGAGCGTATTGGGATTGGCTAATCTAGTGGATGACCCTACAGGAGTACAAATTACACACCTTTGAGAATACATTGATTTTTAAAAGAGTATTTCTCGTAGAGCTAAGGGAGACAATAAATTAATGTAACTATTAAGCGTAAAATTCTTCAGAGCTTTACAGCCAAGCTCGGTTTCAATTTGGACTTTTTGGGCATGATTAGAATGTAAAAAAGCCTGACCATATCACAGAAGAAGTACCTAATAATATCAGACAAAAATTGTAGAAAGGTTGTTAGAGAGTAGGAGATGAAAGGAACATGTCCACCATTCCCGCTGACCGCTGACTGCCGATTAACTCTAATGGTGTTAAAGAGCTCTTTCCTTTCACATCTTTACTTGCGCCTGATGTCATGGTATTTTCTCTATCATGAGATCTCTCATTCACAGGGGGAGGGTAACACTTTTCCATGAATCCAGGTTGAACTTGAATTTCTCCCATTCAGCTTCAAGTTCGGCCTTCTTGACTTTTTTCCTCTTGTGGTTCCTCTTCTTGAAAAAAAGTGATTGGCTAGGATCCTTGTGGGAAATTCTGACTAGAAAGAGGTTCAACAAGTGGAGGAGTAATTCGTCGTTTAATCAAAATGGCGACTCAAGCAAACATGTCTCTTCCCCAAGGCTCTTTCGAATTACAGGCCTGTGTTCCACATGGAATCCATTAATAATGATGTCCTTAGTCCAAAACGATTATAAACAGTAACAATACAATTCTAAGGTTCTAATGAGAAACAGTAATAGTCATTAATAGAGTTCAGACATCCTCTGGAGGGGGGGGGGGGCATGAAGCTGCCGGGCTCAGTCCACAATACGATCCGTGGCTCTGTGTGCCACTATCCGCTGACTTCTCCTATGTGCTAGCTGCTGTGGTGGCTCCGAATCCACTCTCTGCTCCCTTAGTCCAGGGTCCGCTGCTACAACTTCCAGTGGGTACAATTTGGTAATGGATTGATTGGTACATCCCTTGGATGTACTCAGATGAACTGTGTCAGATGTCTACGCCTCTAATGAGTCCTTCCACTACTCCTAGTCTCCATTTCAGACGACTCCTTTCATCACTGTGGATTTGTACCACATCTCCTATTTTGACGATGGTGTCACCAGTGGTACCACTGGCCTTGTGGAAGTCGGTTAGTGAGGTTGAGTATTCTTGTCGTCAGTGCTGCCAGAAATGCTGTGTAAGTAGTACTACAAGGATTGTATTTCTTCATAACTGTTTCTCCCTAGCCTGGGTCTGAGAACTCACCACCTTCTACTTCTGGGTGACGGAGGCTGGTAATTCATTGACCGTAAAGAAGTTGAGATGGCATGTGTGGTTTGTCATCTTCAAAGTCCGATGAAAGGTGGGTCAGGGGTCAATCATTCAGAGCTGCCTCCATCTTTACCACGATGGTCTGGAGGGTAATCAAGTTGACTGAAGCCCGCGATAATTCAACTACTATTATCAGATTACATCACGCGAGTCCCTATGTTGATCTACTGTCAAGTCGGGTATTAAAATGTCATAGATGGAATATCGTGACATCTCCTTTTTCTTAATAGTTCATCAGGTAATCATCGTGCCAAGCTGGCGGTTTCCTTACATGGGTTGAACGACGTGGTTGAGTGACTGGTTCGGGAGTCACACCTGAGGTGTCATCTCGACAACGAGTGGGCTGTGTTGTTTCTTGGCTGTTAACGGGAGATGTTACATTGGCATCATTGTTCGGAAGATCTTCAAGTGTAGTGTGTGGAGGTGTTTCGGCCGTTCTTAGTTGGCAATGATAACGGCGACCTGTGACTTACACTTCGTAAGAGTGGTTAGGTAGTGCCTTGACGCAGCTGCCAAGAGACCATTTTGGGTCACCAGGGAGTTTCATTCGAATCGCTTGACCAGGCTGGATCGGAGGCAGCGGTTGACTTTTCTTGTTGTGCTGCAATTCTTGTTTCTGTTTGGGCTGTGCCAACTTTGCTTCTGTTTCGGAGTCTAACTGTGACTTCAGAAGTTTGGTATGAGTTAGCAGGAGTGTTCTTGTTCTTCTACCCATAAGACGCTGGACAGGCGAAACAGATTCGTATCTTGTTCGGCTTTATTGCAGCTAGCATGCTTGAGACCCATTCGGTAGGTTCAGTTACTGATGTAATAACTTTTTGCTGTACCAACTCATCAAGTTTTTCTTTGATTTTAGGGCGGAGTGCAATTGGCACTCGTCTTGGGGGGTGTACCTTTGGTTTTACAGTTTCATCAGTGATGATTTTGTACTCTCCGGGTAGTTCTCCTAGTCCCTCAAAAACATCTTTGAATTCTTCAAGGATCGCGTTACTACGTGATGATATCGTGAGTGAAAGAATGTCACAGTCCTGTAACGAGACTATTCCAAACGCGATACTTGTGTTAAGTGATAAGATGGGCTGATACTCGCCATCGATAACATTAAATGTCAACATTTGTGTACTGCGTTTGTGCCAGACTCGAAGATTTATCTTTCCTACTATCTGCCGTCGTTTGCCAGTGTAGGAAACGATCGATTTATTGCACTTTCGTAACATACTGAAGTTCGTGTCTCCAGTTAGGGACTTGTACAATTTAATTGGTAGCAAGTTACAGTCTGACCCTGTATCCACTTGAAATCGTACTTGATTTCCAGGCTTTTTAGTGCTGACAAATATGTCAACGAGTGCTTTGTTGATACTAGGACGGGAATCTTCGTCAACAGTGCAGATTTTGTATGACTCTTCTTCTTCTGAATCTTCTTCACCTACAGTAGCAACCAGCTTGGTGCGGTAAAGGGATTGATAGTTGTTAAGATTTCCACATCTACGACATTTCTGTCCCAATGCCGGACAATTTTTCTTTGCGTATTTTGTTCCACATCTGCCACAGAGATCACACGATACTTCCTGTTTTTGAGGAGTCTCCTTAAATCCATTGTTGTTTTACCACTGCCCTGTTTTAATGCATTTACGTTCGCGGTTCCACCGGAGTTTCCCCTCATAAGTTTGACTTGTTGTTCAGTCTGTTCCGCCGCTTTAATTAGATCAACAGTGTTTTGCAACGTTAAATCGTTTAATCGGAGTAATCTCTCACGCATTTTGTCATCTCGAATTCCCAGCACAATTCTGTCACGTAAGATCTCATCTGGGGTGATACTTTCATAAAGGCAGTTTTTTGCAATTGTCCTTAATTCTTTGAGGTATGATGCGATGCTTTCTCCAGGTTCTTGGTTACGATTATTAAATCGATAGCGTTTGTAGATGACCTGTGTTCGTGGCTCACAGTATTCATCTAACTTTGCAAGGACATCTATTTTTGAATCGTCCTCGGTTTCTGCCAATTCGAAGGTATTGAATGCTTTTCTGGCGTCCTCTCCAATAACTGACAGCAATGTTGAGACTCTCACCAGTTGTTCCTGCTTGTTTACACCTGTGGCGACCTTGTCTCTTGTCCGCGCTTTCTTCCACGCATTCCAGTTGGTGGCTAAATTGTCATCCATCACAAGTGGCTTGGTTGGGGGCAAGTTTGCAGGCGGCATGTAGATTTGAGTGGTGGGTAATATTTTTTGAGCTGGCGTCGCTTCTTCATGAGCGAGCGATGCTTCTGATGACCCTGTAATTGGCATCATGGTTCAATTTTGTCTGACACCATGTAACGTTTTATGTCGTTCGAATTAGCGACATAGAGAGAGAGAGACGCATCAGCTAGTCAACTCCAGTTTTAATAATGAATCTTCGAACATTACAAGAGAATCAATGAATTATTATTGTTCTAATCACGCAACAGCCGATCGTAAACTAAGGCGATGATTCAACTACTATTATTAGATTACATCATGCGAGTCCCTATCTTGATTTACTGTCAAGTCCTATATTAAAATGTCATAAATCGAATATCGTGACACTTAGGGAGGTAAGTGTAGAGCCAACATTGGTATGAAGCTGACTTACATATGTGTCACGAATGATGAGACTTGTCAGGTGATCCTTCTTAGGAAGTAGGACTGGGAACTTGATAGCCTTGGAAGCTGGGGCATTATGGATCCTCCCGCCACAACAAAGTAAGCGGTTTTCATCAAGAACAAGGCGTCACTAGTGTGTTAGGGGGGTTCAATTCTTGCTATGGGATGATAGGTGTGATGCTGGCAGTCATGCCTTCTCTGCTGCTGTTAGTTCCATGACAGTGGGTGGTCCACTCTGATGGTCTGAAGGGTTCCAGGGGTTGTAGACAAACCTAAGTATGTAGGTGGTGACACTTACAGGAACTAGAAGATCAGCAAAGGTATCCTGGGATTTTGCTGGGGCCTCTAATGCTCTAATATTGGTCTCCAGGGTATCATAGAAAGAGCGTAAACTGGGTTGGTGGCTGGTTGGGTGTGGTAGGTCCAACAAGGCTGTCATATGTGCATTGGCAACCTTGTGGGGGTGCCCAAATCTCTCCTTGAGGGTGGCGATAGCTCTAGCATAGTTACGACTGGTAATAGGAAATCCTGTGATTGCATGCTCTGCCTCCCCAGTAACTTGTGCCTTTAGATAATTAAACTTACCTACCTTTGGTAAGCCTGGTTTACTGTTCACCCCCACATTGAATGAGTCCCAGAATGTTAACCATTTAAGGGGTCTCCGTTGAATACAGGCAGATTTAACTTTGGCAAGTGACTACTGAAGGAGTGATTGACTGGGTAATATGGGGCAGCATCAACTGACATTCGACTGAAGAAATCCACGTTTGGAGCTGGGGTAGTATTGATGGGATTCGTGTTTTGTTCCACTGGAATTGTGGACTGTGGAGCTGAATTAGTGCTTGGGGCGGTTTGGGTAATGAAACATGCTTGGGGTGACAGAAGATGTAGCTGGGGCGACTGAAGCAGTTGCAGGGAGTGAACTCATGCGTGGAGTGGGAGGAGAAATGGTAATTCCAGAGTCTATAATAACACTTGGCTTAGTGAGGGCTTCGACGATTTTCTCGTGGATTTCCTCCTGGCAAGGTTGATGTAAAACTAAAAGGAAAATACAGCTGAAAAATCTTGACGACGTGACGAGAAATGTAGTAGGTAAACAAATACGAATACAAACTTAATTAGGAAATTACATACAAAGGGCGAAATAATAAACCAAATAAAATGGAAACGAAAGGTAAGGCTAATACCTTGTGAGCCTATAAGATACTATCCTTGAACTACCAAATCCATCACGGAAGGAGTAAATGCGACAGTTCCCAACCGTCAAGCTAATGATCATGCATCTTAAAACTATGCTTGGTCACTTGACCCAAAGAGTGCAAAAATTTTTTCCTACCGCGCAGGCGTGGGCTAGCTAGCAGCTACATATGTGTTTAATTGCTGGTCCAACAAGAGAGAAGTTTAGGGCTCCAGCCTTGAATGACTTGCGTAATGTGGAAATACTTGGAAAAACTTCCTTGAGAATACAATAAAATACATTTATTAATTCTCCCAATTAGGTTTTTCAGAATGAATTTACGAGATTGTTCACTAAGCATAATGTACTAAATAGGCAAATATTACATGTATAAAAGACAATTACATTTGAATGCTAGAACTACAATTATAAAAAAATGAAAAGCTAATAAACAATTAATTACAAAGATCAAAAAAACTAGGAGTAAATTTTCTATTTCTGCATTCTGATTATCTCAAGCCTGGCCGTCCTTTTAAAAACCTTAATAGAGGCAGAGTTTCTAATATCATTGGGTAGACTGTTCCAACAGTTAGATGCCCTGAAACGGAAGGCACGCTGTGTTGAGGAGGTTCGGCACTAAGGGAGATAAAGTTGATTGTTCTGTTTAGTGCAATACGAGGCAGTTTCTGAGCGTTTTACAAAATTAGTTCTTAAGTACCTGGGCACAAGACCACTCAGACATTTAAAGATCATTGTTTTATCACATAAGTATAGTAGCTCTTCGATGGTGAGCCAACCAAGTTCATGTAAGACCTGGTGTAATGTGATCAAACTTTTTTGTGTTAGTAGTATGCGGCTGGCAAAGTTTTTGCATAAGTTGTAGTTTATGGATGTTTTCGTTAGAAGTTTTAGACCATATGGTCGTGCAGTAGAACCGTTTGCTAAATACTAGGGTATTTAGGATTACGTACTGTACATCTTTGAAGAACAAGTGTCATACCCTATTTATTTGAACTAATGCTGACAAAAGAGAGGAGGTTAGTGAAGCGGTATGGCCACTGAAGGTCAGGTTCAAACCAAGTGTGACGCCAGGGTCCTTGACGGAAGTTACAGGTACTAGGTCTTGAACAAGGAAAGGTATGGTGATGTTACTGGGCAACTTGGAGATAAGTTACCTCACCCCAGAGAGGACAAACTGCTTTAGTTTCAGGATTGATCAAAAGGTGGTTAGCGTAATACCACTCTGAAACGTGTTTAAATCCTCAGCAACTTGGCGTAGACATGAATCAATGTCCTTTGATGTGAACGACAAATATATCTTAGTGTCATCAACGCAAGATTTGATGTTACTAAACTTGATGACTTTGGGTAGATCATTCATACACAGGCTGAAAAGTGTTAGGCCAAGAATTGAGCCTTGAGGTATGCCGTGTGTAATAGTGAGTGGTTCTGACATTGAAGTTGCAACACGAGTGGACTGTTGTCTGTTTGTAAGATAACTTTCGAACCAAAGAATAGCTTTGTTTGAGGTATTGAGGTTTTTTGTAGTTTTGAAATAGCATAGGCTGTCAAAGGCTTTGCTTAAATCAATAACCACCATCGTTGTAATATGCTTATTATGCATGGCACTGAAGATGTGATCCCTTAAGAGCAAGCTCAAAGTTTCTGTCGAGTGGTGCTTCCGGTTTCCACTTTGGTGGTTAAATAGTCATTAAATTGACCTAGGGTAATTCTCTCGGCTGCTTTGGAAAGCACAGGCAGAAGTAGAGATGAGGGACCATTTCACCTTTTTTCCAGGCACGTGGAAAAATCGAAAAGGTAAATGAGTGGTTGATTATGCTAGTTATTGTCGGTTCCCAATAATTTAATTTTGTATCTTCTCTAACAGGCCCAGGGCAAGGGCATCCTTATCTAGCTCTTGATTGTGTGGAGCAAAGCAACATATATCTGAAACACACTGTTTACACTCTGTTCAACATACATGTTTAACATACATCTTTATTCAAACTCATATATAACTACATAAATTTGAAAGGGAGAGTCTAGAGGTTAACCCTATGAATAAAACTCTCCTAAAAACAACAAACAAACAATAAAAATTACAACTTTAAAAAGGATTTGAGTTTACATTTAAAAAGTTCAAGGGTACCGGCTTCAACAACATTACTAGGTAAATTGTTCCAATAACTAATTACATTGTTAAAAAAAGAATATTTAAAACAGTTGATTCTAGATAATTTACAATAAAGCTTATACGAGTGATTTGCCCTAGTGGATTTGACGTTTGCGAATTGAAAGAATTCCTCAAAATCCAAGTGTGATAAGCCAAACACGATCTTATAACATTCAACAAGAGAGGAATATGTCCTACGACTGGACAAAGATGGCCAATGTAACGTGTCACGACGCTCTTCATAAGACATATCACCTCTTTTTTGCCTAAGAGCTAATCTTGACGCGCGTCTTTGCACGCTCTCTATTGCATGAATATCTTTGACAAGATACGGGTATGGCAAGCTTTTCTCTCTTTTTTTTTGACAAAATTTTTTAGTATTGTCTGTCAAGGTTAAGTTTTAAAGTTCTGTTTGTACCTTCATGAAAATACTGGTGGTTTTTGGAGTATTCTCAAAAAATGCCATGTTTCTTTCAAAATAGTTTCCACTTCCTTTATATACTTAATTCTGTCTCCCGTGTCCGCACAAGTTAGGGCCGGCCTGTGGCAGATACAATAAAACCATGTTGCAACACCACTGTATTCTCCAGTCATGATTCTTGCACCATCACTGACAACTGACTTTAGATTTCTTACTTTTAAGTTGCTTTCTTTAGGCGACCGAGATTTGACCAGTGATGACCTCAGCATTTGCACCTTGGCGGGCATTCATACACTTGGTTGGCAAGAATTGTTTCAGCCTCACCTATTTCTGGGTTAATATACTTAATGAAGTTAATCAACTGTAGCAAAACAGCGACATCAGCAGCTTCATCTGCGAGGATTCCTAAACTCTTCGCCCGCCTTATTCTTTCAAGCATGATTTCTTGAACGCTCTCTCCAAGAGTGATAAACATTTTACATACAGATGGCTTGGATCTATGCTGAAAGTACTTAAGCTCACTTGCTCCAAGATTTTCGAGGAGAGAAAAGAGGAAAATCAACTTCTGATTTGGAATTTCTTCCTTGGTCAACCAATAAATCGCAGTGAAGGTTCTCTAACATGCTCTCGTTCACCTCATTCCTTTCGTTGATTTGTTTTTGAAAATGTTTAAATCCGCCGCATCATTTCAGGCTTTATGGCTTCTTTGTGCTGGGGCATTGAAAGATGATCTTGTACTGGTTCACAGCATAGTCATACAGATGGTGTTGTGTTCTACCAGGGCTCTCAATAAAGGCCGGTAGCCGGCTACTTTCATCTCGTTCTACCTAGCAGACGTTCTTAGGGGTTCGTCACGTTTTCCTGCCCCACAAACGTCTGCTGACTTGAGCGGAAAAAAACGTAGACCAATCACAGCAGACTTCCAGATCTGGAAAGTGCACTTTGTTCCCTGAGGAATTTCGCGCTTGACTTTATAGCTCCAGAAAAGATCAGAAAGGTCTAATGAAAGGTGAAGACCTTACAGTTGTACAACAAACTACTCAGTTAACTTACAAGCGTTCTTTCTAGTGGCTACCCTCTTAATCTCATTGAAAAAAATTACCTCGGAGGTTAAATTTGCTGAACGGAATTCGGCTTTACTACAAAACAATAACGTGTGACAAAAAATGCTGGCTATTGTTCAGTCTTACAAGGTTACACTGCCGTTGCATCACCCAAAGAACAACTTTATGAGCAAACGACAACTAATCTCTCTTTACAGAGAGAAATAGACAACAACCCATCACTTATCTCCTAGATTCTCGTCTGGAGAAAAAATCTTTAGTCACGTATCACACTCTATAGAGCTTGTACATGTGTTTGGCTTGTCAACACTTTGACTTCAACAGCGCTGATTGGATGTCCGATAATCTGCAAGTGATCTCTAGCTGATATTTGTGAACGATGGGAAATGAATTTGTCTTTTGGTTCAGCAGACGTTTGTGAGGAAGGAACGCGTGACGAATCCCCAAGAACGTCTGCTTGGGAGGCTACCTTCTACCATGATTGTTAACAAACAATAAGCACCATCGTATAAAATTGTTAACCATCCATTTCCCAGTTTTGAATGACATTTTGACACATTAAAACAGGTTTAGATCGATGCGAAATGTTCGAACCGTGCCATGTTGTGGAACGCCTGGGACATTTCGACAACATTGTTCCCAGTCTTGCGTGTATTCTGACCAAACAGCATGGCGTCTGCGGTGGTAAATACCTCCTGAAAACCACGGGAAACACCATTTTCGAGACTAAATTTCAAAATGTTGCTAGATGCCTCGGCCCTCAATAACTTGGCGTTATTGCAAGTTCCAAAGCCGCCTACTACTCATTATCAGCCTGCTACTTAAAAACTTTTTGACAGCCCTGGTTCTACACATCAGACTTGCTGCAACTTTGTTAACGGTTGTGCTTCCAACAGAGCAGGCAACATTCCGTTGTTTTCTTCGTAAACTAGCCACCACAATCCAGAGGGTTTATCAAAACTAAGATCCTTTGTATTTAACTAGCTGAGAGAGAACTTGGCCTTCCCGGCTTGTGGAGTGTCCATTCTCACCTAAGTTACACAAATAGTAATTGTGCAATAATGAGCAGTTTAAGGTGGCAGCGATTTCGTTTTTACCTTGCATGTCTGTGATAGTAGGTGACACTGTTGTCTGTTCTGGCTCTTAATGCGGACGTAAAAATTGTTCAGGAGCAGATATAGAAGTGGTCGTGCATATGCTCAATATTTTGTCTTGATTCTGTTGTGGAACTGATGACGCTTCTTTCAAGAATCTCAGCTGGTTGTCTAGAACTTGTTGTGTTACTTTCGGCTGGTGTAAAAAAATTTTTCTATGCCATTGTCTTCAGAAACTTTCCCCTCTTCCCCGATGTATCAAGTGAATTTTTGCCACTACAGGTCTGTTCCACCAGGAATACGTGATTTGGCATTTACTATTTTGCTTACATGAGGTGTAAATAGTAAATGACACTAAAGAAAGAGCTTGCAAACAGAAATGCAGTGCAATCGTTTGAACTAAAAAATAATGGAGTATTTATGTCATATCAGTTGGGGTTAAAAAGAAACTAAGGTTTGGGCAGATAAAAACATTACTGACGTCCTTCTACAAACATTTGGGAGAGGGAGTAAGTCCTTTCTGAGGCAGGTTGCCGTTTACAGCCGGAAAAATCACACTCACAGCCGGACAATTTTCCTGGCTCCAGGCAGTTGTCTACATCCCTAACCTGGGTATGGCGCGGCAAATAGGACAAATCGAAGTGTGTGGCCTTTAAAGTGAATAGAAACACCTTTAAAGCGAAGACCAACACCTTTAAAGTGACGAGGTATTCCGTTAAAATGAATACCTACACCTTTAAAGTGAAGACCTACACCTTTAAAGTGACGAGGTACATCTTGAAACTGAAGACCTACACTGCGCTGAAGTGAAGCTGAACGAAATGATCTCTAAAATGACAAGGAACATGTTCAAGTCAAAAAGTTTTGCTTTAAATTGACGAGGTACACCTTTGAAGAGACGAGGTGCACCTTTAAAGTGAGCATAGGCCTGCGGTTCAGAAAACAGCGGCTACCCATAATGGGCATGAGTCAAGGACATGAGCGGATCTCAAATATCCAATATGGCGGAAGTCGTTTCTCAGAGAATAACGAACGAATTGACTCGGCTGTATGCTGCTGTAAACGAAGTAGCTAACAGGGCGGTTGTCACATCTGATGATATACAGTATTTCATAAACTGCCTGGAACATTTTCATCGTCATCTTCTTCGATTAAGCGAAAGTGGTTTTGTAACAGCACATTGCGTGAGGATTTTGCAAGATGCTCTTAGCGGCCTTCGAGACAGCGGAATGCCTGAAGATTTAATTCCTGCACCGGGTTCGAACATGCACCTGTATCGAGAAAAACCCCTAGGGAGACCTAAATACTTCCTTAGTAGGGATCAGTTAGAATTCCTGTTGTCTTTGGGATTCAACAAGACCCAGTTGTCAGAAATGCTGGGTATGTCTGCGCGTACCATTCAGCGTCGAATGGCAGAGTACGGCTTGTCAAGCAATAACTATTCTGACCTTTCAGAAGAAGAACTGGATCGTATGGTGACAGAAATTAAAGAGCAATTTCCTCGAGCTGGATATCGACAGGTTCTTGCAATTCTAAAGTCCCATGGTGTTTTTGTGCGGGAACATTTAACAGGAAAAATTCCTTGTAAATCTGCAAGGGCAGTGGGACTGATTGCACTCTTTTCCTGCCATCCTTAAAATGTAAGATATTTAAAGCATGATTACAACCAAGCAACATTTGCATTGCACCTTTTCGTTTTCATTCCCAGGATCAACGTGTAAAACATTTTTATATTTGTGCAGTGAGAGAAATCAAATTTTATGCATAAGAAAACATTGAAAAGAAAAAGAGACAATTTCTACAAATAATAATTAGCCCACTGCACCATAGTCATCACACTGATGGTTTTCTGTTCCAGGGGAGGGACAGACCTAGCTGTGTATAATTTACACTTTATTAGAAGAGATTTACAGGTCATGTCTTGTCAGAAATTTCAGCTCACCATCAAACACCAATGCACACAATTCCCTAGTAAGAAGAGTTGTGCAAAACTAGCCACACTGCACTCCACACTTTATTTTCTCAGTTTGCTTTTTATAATGTAGCCAGTGTTGTAGGTTTTAGTGTCACAGGTCTTGTCTTTTATGTAGCATTTCACTGTTCTTTTTATGTACCTGTCTTGATGGGCACAGGGTCTTTATCCTCATCACTTGAGTCATCATTCACAACAGTGGTTACTTTACTTGATCCACTAAAATCCAACATGTCAGGGTCATTTTCACTACTTGTACTTGTGCTGCCTCATTCTTGAAAGCTGAATCTTGATCCCACACTTCACACACATCTCCAATGGGCCAGTGTCAAAAGACTAATACAAACACAGATGACCATAGTGTATCTTAGCCTGTTCTGTTTACTAATAAACAACAATTCAACAGTAGTTCCAAATGCCTTGTCACAAGTCACTCACACTCGCTCTGGTGAAAAATTGAAAAAAAAGTGCTTTTCAGGGAAAACTGGGGACAAGCCCAGAGCAAGCCTGAGGAGGCAGTTAAATGGCAGAGTGACACATACATGTAAGCTCTTCCACTATAACAAGATGTGCTCAAGAACTTTCAAAACAGTAATAAACAATAACATAAAAAAGTAAACAAATTAACAGTAACATCCATCTTGATAGAAAGGCATTTAGTAAAAGTAGAAGACATAAACACACTCTAACCCTCACTGCCAAGCTTAATGTCAATGTATCAAAAGAAGTACATTGGTCAGAATATAGTGGTAAAGAAGAAAACTGGTCATAATGAGTAGAGAACTCACCAATGATGGCTGTCCTGTTTGCTCAAGACTTAAATCTTTTTGAAGGGGTCGAACATAGATTTTAGCTGATGACACCATTTCTTTAAGGTCTAACACATTATGCCCACCATTCCCTTTAGGTTGCAAAATTTCCAATTTGCTGGTTGATCTGAACTTTGTACGCATCAGCTCGTAACCCCCTCCTTCCTTTAGTTTTGGGTAGCTTTCTAACAGCTTTTCATGAAAGTAGCCACACGAGGATTTCTTCTCAAATGTTATCTTCTTCTCTCCAAGTGATGCACCTGACAACTGGGATTTGTAGGCAGTACTTGGGACTTCATTATCACTCATTCGTCCTAAGCATACAAATGTATGAGTCCACGTATTGGGTAGCTTAATTCCTGTAGGTAATTTCCTTTTTCGTTGAATTCCTGCAGGAGTGAAATTAAATAGCCGCCCTAGCTCGGCTCTGGCATTTTCTGTGGTAAAATGGGATAGTAAAACCAAGTAAGCAATAATATTATTGTCAGTGTATTAATGCAAGAGTGAGTGTCTGGTGGCAGGGTGAAAGGGGGTGTAAATAAATATATAACTATGTTTACTTTGCATACTTTTGCAAGATTATTGTTACTGTTCAGAAGAAACAGTTGAAATAGTAACCCAACAGAGTTCTCAAGAAAATCATTCATCACAGGCTTTTATAGCCACCTGATTTGACCTCTTGCCAGCTGGGATTAACTTGGCTAATTTACAAATATTTACAATGTACTTCAGTGTTTCATTATGTTGGCCCATTGATGGAGTGGTCAGTTATTTTTTTGTAATTAATAGCATATTAAAACTTAATGTGCAGGGGTTTCAATAAAAGCCGGCTACCAGCGGTCTACCGCCGCCTGTAAGGTTTCTTACCGCCGTCTATTTGGATTTCATTAATGAAGGGCCTTGCAGCCACTTTAGTGGTCACAGCCGCCTATTACATCTTCAATGGCCGCTTATAACTAAAGTTATTGAAACCCCTGAATGTGGCTACTTATTTATTAATAATGTGAACAAGTTCTTGTAATTTTATTATTTAATCATGTTTACCTGCAGCAGGTGCATTTACTGCAGTCCTTAGCTGCTGTTGACCTAAAATAGCATTAAAGAAATAAATTGTTTCATTCAATGTAATGTGCTTTTTGCCAAGACAATAAGACTTATGGTTTGTTTTGTTTTCACATAAGAAAACGTACTATACCATAGGTAAGCTTGCTCATGATAGGTTTTTCAATTTAAGCTTATCTGTAGTACGAGTGTTGGTGTTGAGGGGCATGTGCTGCTGTTGACCTAAAATAGCAAGAAAAATAGTATGCTTAGTGTAAACAAATAACATTAAAATGGCAATTTTGTTGAAACAAGGTAACCTGAAATTTAGGGGTGGCAAGGGTCAATGCACTTATTTGGCTGGTTCAAGGCTTTTGTGATCAAGTATTAAAAAATTCACCTGCAGATTGTGTCGCGTGTGCTGTGACACTGTTTGTACCTGTAGCCAGCTGCGAGTCTAGACAAACAAGGAAAGATTCTTGATATGAGTTTGATTAGGAATCAAGGAAACCCCCTAGCCCATTCAGGAACAGCAGAATTCTTTGGGTAGTGTAGAAGTTAGGGTACAAGTGAAGTGGTCAACAAACACTCAAACGCATGTATCTTACATCGATCCGCTGTAAATATTTCATTTACACTATTTAAACCAGCTCCCTGATGTTTTTAGCTCGTTAGTTATTTTAGGGAGCTGGTAACCCCATAAACTTATCAAAATAAACTTTTAATTTCATTGTATAAACTTCTATTAAAATGAGTAACAAAGTGTGTGTTGTTTTTTGTTGTCAAACGACAAAGCCTACGGATAACAATCGATCGACCTTTGCTATAACCTTTTGACAAAAATACATCTTACTTCATGTTAAGATAATTTTACATACCCGTTTCCAAGCCAGAAATGCAGTTTAGAATGTTCTGGGCACATTCTCGAAGTGTTTCTCTTGCATCTCGACATACCGGTGTTCCCGCCATGTTTAACACGTGGGAGGAAGACGAGAACCAGAGAGATATGCGTGATAAGAGAAGCCGCTGTTTTCTGAACCGCAGGCCTATGCTCACTTTAAAGGTGCACCTCGTCTCTTCAAAGGTGTACCTCGTCAATTTAAAGCAAAACTTTTTGACTTGAACATGTTCCTTGTCATTTTAGAGATCATTTCGTTCAGCTTCACTTCAACGCAGTGTAGGTCTTCGGTTTCGAGATGTACCTCGTCACTTTAAAGGTGTAGGTCTTCACTTTAAAGGTGTAGGTATTCATTTTAACGGAATACCTCGTCACTTTAATGGTGTTGGTCTTCGCTTTAAAGGTGTTGCTATTCACTTTAAAGGCCACACACTTCGATTTGTCCTATTTGCCGCGCCATACCTGGGAACCAAACTAACGACCTCCTGCACAGAAGGCTGCTCACTAACCAACTGTGCTAATCCTCATAATATGTACAGGGGACTATGTTGCTTTTAATGTTTTTCCTTGAAATTTTTTGGAAGCCCCCTGCCATTATTTGCTGAATCTTTTCGCTGCCCCCTTCTCCCCCTGTTTGGTCATCCCACAAGGGTGGGTTTTAAGACCATCACCCAACACACACAAACACACACTTTTTCTTGACTACCACTTGTCAACAAAGCCTTTGACTCAGATGAGACATTTCACTTTCAAAATTAACCATGGGACAATAGTTTCATACCCATCCGATCATCCCATGCACACTGCCATTTCTTCTCTTCCCAGCCTCATAGTGACACAAAGAGACCTCTGCAGAGGACTACAGAAAGAATGACGAATAACACAAGCATGGGTGTGATTTAAAGTATATTCATTGATGTGGACTGCTTGAATAAGCTACAGCTATGGTAACTTCATTTACACCTTGTTCTGTTAAATAAGTGAACTGACGGTGGTGTTTTAGGTGCGTGTTGCTTGCTAAAGTGTGTCTAAGGTTGCTGGGCGGGGTAGACATTTTTTTATGCCTCCTCTCCCCTTTCTTACGCCGTTAATGTCGGGGGCAAATATCGGATAACCTTCCTAAAACTTAACAGGAAAAAATCGTGCTCCCCCTAAAATTGACACATTCCCTCTTCTACGCCCTCCCTAACTGGATTGTTGAAACACCCTATCTGATGGTTTTGTGTTTGCTTACTTGCCCACTCAACCAACCTGGGGAAAATGAGGGACTGCTCATATGACGGTGCAATAAGAATACGTTATAATAATAATTATTGTGTTGAGTGTTACACTGGAGAAACAAGAAATCTATTTAACATTGCAGTTACACAACAGTCACAAGGTTTTAAGTTTCCCCAAGTTCCTTGCCAAAAGCAATTTATTGAGCTCTTCAAACACATACGTTATTTGTCAATTTGACTTCTAATACACAGTGTAGTACGAACATTAAATTCAAGTACTCAATGAGTGGAATGTAGAGAAACATACTATACTCTGCAAATGAGTTATATACATAATTTCTGTATAGATATACTCCTCAAATGCTAAATGATTAAAGTACTATTAAATATAATCTCTCAGTAATAAATATACTCTAAAATAAATATTTTGCTATCAAATATACTCTCAAAGTGAGTAATAAACTTACTCTTACAGTGCAACAAACCTAATTGGGGCCATGGTCAGTTTGAAATTTCAAGACTAAAAATATTGTACTTATTCTTAAATGGCTAATCAAATACTGAAGTGTGACTTCCATGTTCTGAGTCCTTACCATGATTATCAGCTGATGAATATTTGAGTGACACCAGCTATATCTGTCAAACTGTAAATGATAATACAAGGGTTTTATCATTGAATAATAATAATACTCTAAACATACCCTCACAATAAGTAATGCAGGGATTTCATCAAGGGCCATGAAACAGACAAATTGACTGATTAAGTTATGTCTGTATATTTTGAATCAAAACCAAGTATGAAAAACAGTTTAAGCATTTTAAACATTTACAGGGTCAAAGGGCCTGGCCATTCATTTTTCATGAAACATGAACTAAACCTCCTGCCAAGCCCTTGAATACCATCTAACGTATAATACTTAGCAAGTCAAAAATGGACCAATCTAATTCCCCTGCCTCAACACTGTTCTTTCAATGCTCTTTTACAATTCTGTAAAGCAGAATGAACATTGTTCTCCTTCCAGTTCCTTCATTGGACCACAATACCAGTAGAGGGGGTCACCTACAAGTATTTTGTTTGGGACATGTACATCACTGCTCTTATGACATAGGTCCTGCTTTCTCAACCACACAGTACTTCTTGGTTTTCAACTTGCTTGACTTTAAGTCATGTTGGTACAAATACCCTTTTTCTGTCAGGGTTCTCTTCGTAGACTCTTTGCTTTCTTCTTCCAGTGCCACCTTTGCCTAGTCTTTGGATCTTGCATCTTTGGAAGTAGACATGACATCTTTATCTTTAAACAATTGTTATTGTGACTGGCCTCCTGTTGCACATGACGAGAAGAGTTTCAAACAAATAAAGAAAAGGGCAAAACTTGTTTATTCACAGTTAAGGCAGATGTACAGCACATGCCATTCACTTGTGTAACTGATGATTCTGATTCCCCAGATAACAATCTGCATGACAATAAAAATACTCACTATAACCAATCTTGAATCCTAGTGTGAAAAATAAACGGAAAAAATGCTCTGTTCAATACTTCTTGAACTTTTCTTACCGTTACAGCCTTTTGAAAAGACAGCAAAGACCCGATGGACCAGGATTACTGCACAAATCTTAACTCACATGAGGAACAAAACAAAATGGTGGGGTGCTCCTAAGAGAAAACAGGCAAACCACTGACTGCACAGCGGTGCAAATCCTCCTGTAGTTGAGGTCCTGTTCAAATGTCATCATTCAGTGACAAATCATCTGTTCTTGTAGAACATTCCAACACAATGGGTACCTTTGCCTTGCTTTTGTCCATGCAGATTACTGGAAAGTGGGGCAAATACCAAACTTCTGGTAGCTACGGTTCACCCGGTTCAACTTTATGCAATTACCCCTTCTCAACATACCTCCCTATAATTTGAGTACTTTGTTCCAAGAGCACAATCCTCTCTAAATTTGTTTTCTTTGTGGCAAAACTGCAATAGTGCTGTGTATTGATTATCAGTTAACGGAAGCTTATCCTAGTTCATGGTACATCCTCTTTGTAGCACTTTCCAGTGTGATGAATAAATCCCTCAAGTTTCTTTAACGTTTCATTTTCCTCTTGAGTAAAAATCACGTCCTAATCATATTTCGCACTAAAAATCTCCTTACGGTACGATATAATAACATCACAGAAGACACCTTCAATGCTGACGTTGGGCTCTCTTCTGAACAACGTATGACGGACATGTGCCCTGCACTATAAACTCAAATTCTGTGAAAAAGCCATGAATTTTAAAAGACATTTTAGGCACATTTTTAAAGAATTTAACGAGGATGGTAATGGGATGATCATAGTTTAAACAATGGGAATTTCATGGTTTAGAAATCATGAAACACTCATGAAAAAGGCCATGGTTTTTGGTAGGTTTCATGGCATACGTTTAACAGGGTTTTCATTGCTTTGAAAAATCCATTGTTTTCTTGGGATGGAGAACTGCTTAATGGCCTTTTTATATGGGGTACCAGTTCTTATTGCCATGAAAAAGCCATGAAACATACCAAAATTATGCCATTTTTTAACTGTATTTCGATGCATTTTAATGTTCTAATATCGCCACAACACCTCTGTGGTATGGAAAAGGCATGAACTCAGAGAAGCTCCATGAAAATGCCATGATTAAAGCCCGAAAAAGCATTTTAACAGTATTTCACCATGAATAATATGAAGCTGCAATAAGCGTAAAAGTCTGTTGGCCGTTAATAACAACAGCACAAACCAAATTCGAACGAAGATTTATTGTAACCGACGTGCTTGGTACTTGAAATGAAATGGGTGGTACAAAGAGTGTGGATACAAACGGCGTGGGTTGAGACTAAAACAGTAAAAGAGCAAAAAGTTACAAGTTGCAACTTAGGAAAATCAGAATAAAGAAATAACAAAACTGCAAAAACGAGGACTGTGAAGTACACTTACATTGTTTCGGCCAGAGAAAACTGCTGTGAAGCAGACTGTGAATAACGTGAAGAGACTTGCAAGAAACTAAACAGAACTGCGCTTAGCGTGGACCAAAATGAACTGCACAAAGTGTACTGCAAAACTACGATATGAAAAATACGCTAGAACGTGTGGAAAATAAAACTATAGAAACTTAGAAAGCGCTAATGAAGATGAAACAGCAAAGAAATGCTAACGAGGG